TCACTATCCTAGCTAGCTCCATCTTGAGCAAAAAACAAAACATGCTTCTTATGTTGTAGGCTTAATTAGAGCCAGTTTTTTTCTGTTTGGTATCCGTCTATCAGATTCTCCTTTGTTTTGCTCCGTTAAATTCATCATTTTGAATTGTCGTTGTTTTACTATTTCAAAAATAAGCAGCTAGACCCAAATTATTGATAAGTTGTCTAAAAAAACAAAGAAAACTTAATGATTGATATTGATAAGACAGAGTAACTATTATGCGCACTAAAACTAAAACTAAATCGTCTGCTTTTTTAAATTCAAGATGACAAACACGACTTCTCTTCTCCACTCTTGAGCACACTCCTTGTCCAAAACCAATGGGAGTTTACAAGAGAGAAGTGGTAGGTCCTATTCACGTTGCACATAATAATTTTGATAAAACATGTAAAATCTTTGTACCAAATGTCAAGCCACTATACAAATGTATCACAGCCATTAGATTTTCTCGATCGAATCATGGGAACATAACCAAAGACCCTTTTCTTAAAAGATGTTTCAAGGAGAAAAAATGCCAGCACTGAACATTTTCTTTTGTATTATTTAATTCCCACAAGCTTGAACTACAAGAGTAATGGCACCATTAAGTGGGTCAGGAAAAGCAAAGATGCAAATTGATAAATACAGTATTATAAAGGCCTAAAAGCTGATTTTCAAAGTTTCCCACTCTTTTTATAGCTAATACTACTCTAAATAGAGATGCTTTAACTCTTTGTGGGTGTGGTTGGTGGACTGCATCAGTCTTTAATTTTGTTAAGATTTTTATTCTTCTGATAAATGACAAGTAGAAACCCTTACCATAAGAATGAGTCCAAACAATTTTTTCAAAAAAAGAAAGTCCAAACAAAATGAAACGTGCATTTTCGTATGTCATGTAACTGCATGTTCCGTATTTGACGTCGTACGTACTCCAAGCATGAGTCATGACGACGAATTTGAGAGAAGAAGAAAGCGTCCAAAGAAGTAGATGAAGATGGTATTAGATATTGCAAATCTCGCATTGGTTACAAAATTGATATAGGTTTATTACCTCTAACGTGTGTTGTGGTATCCTTACTTCAGTATGCATCTTTTGATTTCTTACACATTATACTTGGATTTGACAAGTTTTACACGTTTTGAAATTCAGACAACTTCACAACTTTAAATGACCACCGTGCGGAAAAAACAAAGTACTTCAAGTGCATTTAATTTAGGTTTAGATCTTTAAGAAAATTACGCAAACTTTATTTTATTCATTAAAACAAACTTTCTTTGGAATAAATAATAACTCAGAGCACCACATAATGAAAAAGCTTAGTTATCTCCTTATATTAAGGGAATTGAGATCTATCTCACTATACTGCAAAAGACACACATACACGCACACAATGGTCTCTGCTTCTCCCATTTCTCCTTCTAAGGTATTATTCCTCCATAATCATTCACTTTCTAATTTTTTTTTTCTCTTTTTTGTTTTTCTTATTAATTAGTTATTTGTTTGAAGGAAACTGATCAGAAGTCCGGCGAGAAATGGACAGCAGCAGAACCATCAAGGCCAGCCAAGTGGTGGTACTCCACCTTCCACACGGTCACGGCTATGATCGGTGCCGGAGTTCTCAGCCTTCCTTACGCTATGGCTTACCTTGGCTGGTAATAAACCTTTCGCCTTAAATTATGTTTTAAAACCAAGAAATTGCAACATTAAGACCCATAATTTCTTCAGTTTTATGTGTGTATTTCAATTTTCAAACGATCTTATAAACAAACAAAATGACTATAATTTTGTTTGCCACTATATAATTGTTTAAAATTAAAACAATGTAAATAAGTGGAAATTCACGTCATGGATCTTTGTAATATAACTATATAAGTTACTCTTTATTTCCGTAAATTCTTTTTTGAGAAACAACTCCGTAAAACCTTTTCATTACTTTTAGCTGATGATTTTAAACTAGTTGCAATTAAATTCAGATATAAGGATATTCACAAGCTGATGGTGACTTTGAAAGTAGTTGTAATTAAACTCAGATATAAGAAGATTCACAGAACATGCAAAACAATTCCCCTTTAAGATGATTATTTTGAACTAGTTGCATGCAACAACACTTAAGCTGTGGCTTGTAATTTTTTTTTTCTTCTTATGCAATTTAATATGAAAATTTAGATTAAAAAAACAACATTCAAAGATAAGAAGATCCATATAAAGGACATGCAAAAAAAAAAGAAGTAAATTGCACTTTAAGATGATGATTTTGAACTAGTTGCAACAAATTTCAGATATAAGAAGAGATTAATTGAACATGCAAAATCAAAAGAAGATTCAAATTTTTTTTTTCGAAAAATAATAAGGTAAATGATGTGTGGTGGAAACAGGGGACCAGGGACATTAATGTTAGTACTGACATGGGGACTGACCCTAAACACGATGTGGCAGATGGTACAGCTCCACGAGTGCGTACCGGGAACTCGGTTTGACCGGTATATCGACCTGGGTCGGTACGCTTTCGGCCCAAAACTCGGCCCATGGATCGTCCTCCCACAACAGCTCATTGTTCAGGTCGGGTGCTGCATTGTTTACATGGTGACTGGTGGTAAGTGCATAAAGCAGTTCGTGGAAATCACGTGCTCCACCTGCACTCCTGTGCGGTCAACGTACTGGATCCTCGCCTTCGGTGGGGTCCACTTCCTTCTCTCCCAGCTCCCTAACTTCAACTCCGTCGCCGGCGTCTCCTTGGCTGCCGCCGTCATGTCCCTCAGGTCAGTACTCTCTCACACCTTATCATCATCATTTTAACATTTTGATGCAATACCATATCATTTTGTTAGTAGTTTATATTCTTCAGTTTTAGAAATTGACATGAATCACATGCATTAACGTGTTGTAACAAAATGTTTGAGCTGTATAAGTCAAAATCATTGGAACATAATTATTTGGTATATGTTATAATTAAATGAATTGATGGTTAACAACAATTAGTTAAATTAGCTAGGTCATTGAGTGGTTAGTCTTCTTAATTTCTTTATCTGTTTTAATTATGTTTACATGTAATTACTTTGTGTATGAACACAATTTTTTGGAAGTTTTAGAAATAAATAAATGAATCAAACTTCTAATCGCAAATATATAAGTTATGGTTTGCTTTATCAGAAATCAAATACTCTAATTAATAAAGCAGCTAGAGGTTTAGATTTTGTCATTTTCAACATACAATACATGTTACATTGAAAATAATGCAATATAAAGTACATAACCTAATGTACTAGACCATATATTTATTTATACGAGCCAAAAGGTTAACTAGTCAAGACTGATCATACTTTTGTAATATATGTTATGTACTATATATAGCTACTCGACGATAGCGTGGGCAGGAAGTATTGCACATGGGAGACAGCCTGACGTTAGCTACGATTACAAAGCTACGAGTCCAAGTGAGTCCACCTTCCGAATCTTCAATGCCTTAGGTCAGATCTCATTCGCTTTCGCGGGCCACGCGGTAGCTCTAGAGATCCAAGCAACGATGCCTTCAACTCCTGAGAGACCATCAAAGGTGGCCATGTGGCAAGGAGTGATGGGAGCTTACTTTGTCAACGCCATTTGCTATTTCCCGGTAGCTCTAATCTGCTACTGGGCCTTTGGTCAAGACGTAGACGACAATGTGCTGAATAATCTACAGAGACCAGCTTGGCTTATTGCCTCTGCTAATCTCATGGTTGTTGTCCACGTCATTGGTAGCTACCAAGTGTTTGCTATGCCTGTCTTTGATCTTATGGAGAGGATGATGGTTACTAAGTTTGGTTTTAAGCATGGAGTTGTTCTGAGGTTTTTCACTAGAACTACTTATGTTGGTAAGTCTTAATTTTTGTTAGCATCATGATATGTCTAGTTAAGAATTTAATTATAATTAATTAACTGAATCTTTGTGATTGGAAATGGCAGCGTTTACATTGTTTATTGGAGTTAGTTTCCCCTTCTTTGGAGACCTTCTAGGGTTCTTTGGAGGATTTGGCTTTGCACCCACTTCTTTCTTTGTAAGTAAACTCTAATAATAATTGGTAAAATAGCTACATCTTCATTTATATGAGCCTATTGTTATGATGATGATAAGTCATTAATAATCTTGTTGTGGATTTTATAACGACACTGCATGCATGCAGCTCCCATGTATAATGTGGCTTATAATCAAGAAACCAAAGAGATTCAGCATCACGTGGTTGGTCAATTGGGTAAACATCTACATCTACATTTTTTTTCCTTCTTATACAAAACCTTTTGATGATGAGCAATGTCTATATATATCATTGAACTATCTTTGTTTTTTTTTTTGTATTGGGCAGATCTCTATCATCGTAGGGGTGTTCATAATGCTGGCGTCAACAATTGGAGGACTGAGAAACATCGTCGCAGATTCTTCGGATTATAGATTCTATGCTTAGTATTGATTAGAGAACTTACACTAAATTATTGATGATTGTGTCATATAATTGTCAGTGTAATATTAAACCTTATAAAATCGTGAGGCGTATCAAATCAAGGAGAGAGTTTTATAAATCTGCTACTTATTCAATAAGACATATATGCTAGTTCTTTATCTTTGATGTCAGTCATCCACACTTATCTTGTCACATTTATAGAGCTGTAACACAATCCTTTGGTTTTGACACCATGCTTACCAAATCCATAGTCAGTAACAGAACGAGAACAATATCAACTTATATCTGTCAGTGTCGTGTCTCACAACGCATGGCATGGCATGGCCCAATGCAAGGTAAAGGGCTAAGTCAAGTCTCATTCCTTTTAATCCTTAACTAACCTAAGTACTAGTCTACCTACTTACATCACCCGTTGAGTATTTTTGCAATAACTTTGTTCTTTGGTGATTGAGTACAACCATATTTAGAATCAAATACCATACTGTTTACTTGTATCATATGGGTTTGTCTTCAGTCTTCATTTGCAATAACATATCAAACCAAACCAATTACCAAAACTTTATTGAAGTCAGAGGGCTGCTTCCAGCTTGTTTTAATGTATTTTTCATGACAAATAAAACTTTCTGATTAGTTTTGTAATGACTTGTGTAAAACATCTAGTATCAAGATTACATATCTAAAGAAAGTATAGATAGCAACGTTCTTCATCGTCATCTTCAGCTCTCCCTACAACCCTGCGTTTTTCACAAAACCAATGGAATAAGACATACGACCATTGTATAAATGACTAATGATGAATGTAAGAAATATATTGTTTATACCACAAAGAAGGTTTTGTGAAGCATTAGGCCTCAACAGAAGTAAGGAACGATTGAATGCCAAAGATAATGAAAAGCATTCCACCAGAAAGAGCAACCTGCAACCACAACAACAACAACAACATTTAGACAACCTCAGTTATAAAACTTAAACGAGTCTTTCTCTTAAAATGGGATTATATAAGGAGAGATATTTACTATTCGTTCGGATATCTGAGACGCTAAGCTCTTTCCTCCAATCACAGCAGCAGTGGTACACACGAGTTGTGCCCTGTGTGGGCACAGATTACTCAGAAACATTGATTTCAAACATATAAACTTTGTGATGCAAACACAAAACGACTGAAAACTTACACAATTCCACCAAGGACCACCCCAAAAGGGTTTTCATCCGCGGCTAAACCAATTGTAGCAAGCTATTACGAAACATGAAGAGCTATGGTGAGCATCTGAAGCATTTACATTGAATCAATAGAGTAAGTGAGAGCTAAACCTGACTCTTGTCACCAAATTCACCAAAGAAGTTAATCGAAAATGCCTGCAAGAAGAGAGAGATAGCAAACAAACATGAAACTAATCCGGAAAGGTCTACTGCTTTTGTGAACAGAGTCAGAGAGGTTATTTAGTTTTACCTTGAGAAAAATTGGGGAGAAGAACTGTGTGAGGAATGGCCTTTTCTGTTTTTTGTTTTCATCTTCAGTCTACAGACAAGAGATGGTTTTGTGAAAACATAGCACATGCATATGCACACATCTTGGTGTTTTGTCTTAGTTTCATACCTTACTGTTATCTTTTGTAGTTTTCCCATTAGCCTTCAAATCAGAATACTGTGATAAACACACACAAGAAAGTCAAAACCACAAAAGCACTTATCTAAAACGTGAGAACTGAGAAAGAGCGTGAAGAAAGACGACACAAACAGACCAGTTCAGCTTCGACCTCAGCCAATTCTTCTGAACCCCTGCTAATAAAAGTAGAATCAGATAACCTGAACAGCATCCTCATGACATCAAAACTCAAAGAAGAAAAGCATTACCCTCCTCCTTCTTTAAAACCGTCCCACAAAGACCATAGCCCGAAACCAAAGAACAACAATGTTGTTATGTGATGGGTCCATTTGCGAGAGATCTACAAGTGGTGGTTTGAATCAGCACTTAGTTACAAGATTGAAACTTTCCGTACTACAATCTAAGTCCTAGAAGAAAAAAAAAAGCAATACAGAAGCCAAAATCATACCAGATTTGGAGCAGCCCATCCAACAGTAGCAGAGAGGATAGTCATGACCTAATAATCAGCAAAAAGACAAGAGCTTAGAAACCTATGTCACTGAAACCAAACTCAAAACGACTCAGAAGAAAGCTTACAATCAGAGCAGATACACAACCAGCCAACACAAGTCTCCTAGGATAACGCATCGCCAGAATCTAACAAAAAGGAAACAAACAAAAAAGATCAAACCTTTACAAATCAGGATAACAACAAAAGTATATGTTACTCTCTCAAAGAGACAGCACCAGATCCTAAACCAACAAAAACATTACCAAACTAAATGGAACTAGAAAAGGTCCTTTAAGCAAATTACAATGGATCTCAGTAGAAAGGAAGATCCTTACACTATCTAAACCATTCAATCCTTCAACCCTAAACCCTCCAAAACTTACAGAAAGCAACAAACACTTACAGCGGCGGCGAAGAAGGTCTTATCACCAATCTCCGAGACAAAAGTCATGGCTAGAGACTTCGTAAAACCCTTTTAAAGAAAAAACCCATCAGCCATAAACTCAGATTAGCTTCCACAACGATACCCAGATAGTAAAAAATCGAACTTTCTGAGAAAAGATAGATCTTTTTTTTTTTACTGTACCTGCAAAACCGAGCTCATGGCTGCCGAGTTAGCTTCAACCAGCGAATCTTCTCCGGTTGAAAATAGATTCAACGAAGTGATCTACGGCGAGAGAGAGAGAGAGTAGAGAGACGACAGACACTCGTGGGGAGATGAGATGAGAGAGCGTGGCCGGAATAAAAGTTTGTTGAAGTGCACACAAAAGATGATTCCTTTTTCTATTTTATTTAGAAGCTTTTGAGTGAATTTGATTCGGATTCTTTAACGATTGAGATCTCGCCACGTGTGTTTATAAAATCCAATGATTTTGGTTTGTGTTGGGGCCCGGAAACACACAACTTGGCCTTTAGAAAAATGCTAAATTTGTTCGTTTGGTAGCGTTGCTGATAAAGACGTTACATGGAGAATATATACTTAATATATGTGTTCATCGCTTGTACGAGTTGCCTAAAACTGATTGGAGATTTAATTGATTGGCCAATGGCAACTATACTGATGTTATTTTTAAAGAAGAAGTTAATTAGTTGACCAAACTCTTGTTGGAGATGGCTTGATACACGAAATCACATAATTTGATTTGATCATACTATATACTTACTTCAACTCGATTTTTATTCTATACTAAGCATAATATACTGTTGTTAAGAGTATCTAGTATAGACTTGAACGTGACTTGATTCAAGAAAGCACGTAATTTGAATTGATTTTATCCTACTATGCTTATTTTAACTCAGATTACATTCAATTCTAAACTCAGTGACGATATAGTATAAAATGAAACTTTAAATAACGTTGCTAAGAAAGAACATAGTCAAACTGAAATTACAAGTAGGGGTCGGCACATTATCCGATATCCAAATTCGTACCCGAACCCGACCCGAAATATTCGAACCAAAATCCGAAATCCGAACCGAAGTAGCAAAATATCCAAACAGGTTTTGAATTAGGAGAGTTTGGATATCCGAACCCGAACCCGAACGGGTAGCCGAAGATAACCGAACATATGTATATATACCTATTTATTCCTAGTTTATTTTTCTCATTTTATTAAAAATATTTATATTAATGTTATATATAGTTTAATATCAAATAATATACATATAATTGTAAAAAAAGAATTGATTTGTTACTCATTTAAAATTCATATTAAGCTTCTTATTTCATATTTTAAACAAAATTTGCTTCCAAAATTCGAAAATAACAACCAAAATAATGATGTTTATTTTCAATAATTCATTTTCAAATTTATTAATAGTCTAACTTATTAAATATTTTTTTAAAAAATTAAGTTAATAGTTAAATTTTAAATACATGAAATTTTAGTAATAAAGAATTTGAAATTTTTCTTTCAAAATCTAAATATCCGAACCCGACCCGAAATAACCGAACCCGAACTAAAAATATCCGAACCCGGTCCGATATGTAAAAATATCCAAACGGGTTCTATATTCCAATACTGAAATACCCGAAAACCTGAAATACCCGACCCGAACCCGAATGAATACCTGAACGCCCACCCCTAATTACAAGTGTTTACCTGTCCTTTAGCAAATAAAATTAGAGGTAGATTTGTAGTATTAATGGGCCTAACATCATGTAGTTTAGACGGGCCAAATCATCAAACGAACCGTTGCCTACAAGGAAAAATGCTTATATGAGTATTACACAAAGAAGGCCCATGAGAAACCATGATTTCACAATTTCAGGTCACCATTTGACTAGACACAACTTTTAAATAGCCATTTGCCATATGATATGCAAAATGTATGCACAAGTGTGTATTATATATACGAGTTTAGAGCAATAGCTTTAGTTTTTACTTTCTTAGGTACATAGTTTAATTCCATAAAGTTTTAAAATTAGACCTAGATTCATAAAAAATGGAATTGGTGAGCTGTTAATTACTTGAAAGTCATTAGCAAAAGCTAAACTCATTGCCAAAAGTAGCCGAGATTTTACTTAAAATAAAGGAGGAAGATGAAAAAGTGATGAGATTCTAAACAACATAGATATACTCATAAACGCCACACTAACCGCATTGAGTTCATAAAACAAAGTTTAATTAACCTTCCCACCTAAAGACGATGAAGAAACCTCCTCCTCCCCTTAAAACCATTTATAAATCTTCTTTGTTTCTTTGAAAGATTCTTGTACTATAAATCTCCTTGGAATCTACAAAACCTTACCACAAAACACACTTCTGTCTTGTCCTTTACACTCTTCAACAAGTTAGGAAGAAACCAGACATCTCTCTCACTCTATCTAACGGTCGGAATTCGGAAACTAAAAATGTGTTCTCACCGTTGCTTTCTTATACTCATCTTCTTCCTCGCTTCACATTCTTCCGTTACTTCAAGAAACTTGCCAAAGACCTCCGTCACTACTTCAACTATTCTCAATGTAGCTGACTCCATTGACAAAACGAAGGGTCCGACGTCGTTTCAGTTGAACCAGCAAGAAGAACAGAGTTACTATCATTCTTCCACTTCATTCACCTTGCAGCTTCACTCACGAGCTTCCGTCCGAGGAACCGAACACACAGACTACAACTCCCTCACACTAGCCAGACTCCACCGTGACACAGCCCGAGTCAAATCCCTCATGTCTCGTCTAAACCAAGCCATCAACAACATATCCAAACCACATCTCAAGCACACAATGCACACCACGGAGCAGGAAGAGATCGAAGCTCCTCTAATCTCCGGCACAACACAAGGAAGCGGCGAGTACTTCACACGCGTGGGAATCGGAAACCCAGCGCGTGAAGTCTACATGGTGCTCGACACAGGAAGCGACGTAAACTGGCTACAGTGCGCACCTTGCGCCGAGTGTTACCACCAGACCGAACCCATCTTCGAGCCCACCTCTTCCTCCTCTTACACAACTCTCCCCTGCGACGCACCACAGTGCAAAGCCCTCGAAGCCTCCCAATGCAGAAACGACACGTGTCTCTACGAGGTCTCATACGGCGACGGCTCCTTCACCGTCGGCGACTTCGCCACCGAGACGTTCACCATCGGGTCGACTTCCGTCGACAACGTCGCCGTCGGGTGCGGCCACCGCAACGAGGGACTCTTCGTCGGCGCCGCCGGTCTCCTCGGACTCGGCGGCGGTCTCCTCGCTCTCCCGTCGCAGCTCGACACGACGTCGTTCTCTTACTGCCTCGTCGACCGCGACTCGGACTCCTCCTCCACCGTCGAGTTCGGAACCGACCTCCCGAGCGACGCCGTCGTAGCGCCGCTGCTGCGTAACCACCTGCTCGACACGTTCTACTACGTCGGACTCGCCGGGATAAGCGTCGGCGGGGAGATGCTGGATGTTCCGGCGACGGCTTTCGAGATGGACGAGTCGGGAGGCGGAGGGGTGATCATCGACTCTGGAACCGCTGTGACTCGTCTCCAGACCCGAGTCTACGACTCGCTGAGAGACGCGTTTGTGAGAGGGACGACGGATTTGGAGAGAGCGGCGGGTGGTGTTGCGATGTTCGACACGTGTTATGATCTTTCGAGTAAGACGACTATTGAAGTGCCTGCGGTGGCGTTTCATTTTTCTGGAGGGAATGTGTTGGCTTTGCCGGCGAAGAATTATATGATACCGGTGGATACGGTGGGGACTTTTTGTCTTGCGTTTGCACCGACGGCGAGTTCGCTTGCGATTATTGGTAACGTGCAGCAGCAAGGGACACGTGTCGGTTTTGATCTGGCGAATTCTCTTATTGGATTTTCTACGAATAAATGCTAAGCATTTTTAAAATTAATCTTCCACGATTATGAGGTCTCAAATTTCTCGTAATCTGATTATTTATTTATCTTGTTAAGTCGTCATATACTATAGTTTCCTAATCACGATGCAGCAACGACCATAAATTCGTATTGATTTGATAACGTATATAATCACGTAACATTATCTAAACTAAAGATGGTCACGTGTTTAACACTGTTACCATATACGATACTCTAATTATAAAAACAGAGAACAGCTGGGATATTAATTGGAAATTAAGTTACAGTGATTATTTATATGATTAGTGATTTTGTAAATAATGTTGTGTATTATAACTAGAAAAAAAAAAGAGAAGAACATGGGATATAGAGAAGTGGCGAAGACATGACACCACTTGCCATCACAACAAATGAAGTGGCATCCATTCGGGTCAATCATTTTGTCACTAAACAACTTTTGTTTTCTTTTCTTCTACTTTTTCATGTCAACCTTTTACTTTTCACCTTTGTTCATCCAGACAAACACTCTTTTACTGTCACAGTTGCATGCTTGACATTAAACTTACTTCATTTAAGCAAAAGAAAACAAGCAAATAAACCTGACACTTGTTGTTTCGTCAACATGGGATAACATTTCATGGTACTGAAATAATTAAGTGTACGTTTTATTCGTATGTGCAGTATGTGATTTTGACCTATCTTTTAAATATATCTATATATTTTATATTTCATATGTTAGGAGAGGATATACATTACACAAAGTAAATTAGACACCTACCACATTTACTCTGAAGCGATTGGCAAGTTTGTGAAAATATCATTTACGCTCCTTCATTAAATTTGTGAAATTATTAGACTTTAATAACACTAGAATAAATGCCTGGGTTTAAATAAGTACGGCCTAACTATATTTTATAATTTAACAAAAAACTAGATTTTGACCCGCGCAACCGCGCGGGTGTTTGTTTTCGTTTATAGTTAGTTATATAAACATTTTGTTTTCACTTGTAAATTGATATATATTATAGTAATCACATATTTACGATATGTATAGTAAATGTTTGTCAAACATAATAATATAATATAATACGTGTTTTAATCAAATAGATTGTTTCAAATTTTCTATATTATATTGTTTGTTAGATTAGTAATTCATTTAGATAAATTAATATAAATAGAGCTTGATTAAATATTAGTATACTTTAATTTGCAAAGATAATATAAACTTCGAAAAATTTTTTGCTAAAAACTAAACTTATAGCTTCATAAATTAATATTATAAAGAATTTTATTAAAAGAATTTTTAAACAATTTTTTTAAAACAATATAATTTTTAAAATTTACATCGAAATAAATTTATCTAGTATATATAGCGTGTAAATTTTGTTAGAGTATATAAATATTCCATATTACTAATCTGTGATTTTTGTTAATATATTGTGGATGCATTTAACTATTATCAACATATTTCCTTATAAATAATAGAAGATTCCTAAACTTATATCTATTGACATATTTTGCGTGACTAAGTTGGAAGGTGTCGGGTAATTTACCAAAACTAAATCGTTAAGCGTATCTTTGTTATTATAGATATCATTTTCCATAAGATATAATAATAATATAATTATTAGAGAATTAATATAACATAACTTTCTAGTAATAGTCCATTTTTTAAAAAATCACACATGAAGTCAAGTCATGACTTCTGTTTTAATATATAAGATTCAATTGAATAAAATCCAGTTTTGAAAGTGGATATATAATTGTATGTTGATACGGAATCTGAATTAGGCATGTTCTAGATAAAAATATGAATTCAATGTTCAGATTATTTTAAAAACGTTTATTACAAAACTTTAGATCGATATCAAAACTCATCTCTAACATTTGAGAATAATTCACTCACTTAAAATAATAATTTTAAGAAAACATATAGCTTGTTGACCAAAAAAAAAAGAAGAAAACATATAGCTTATTTTTTTAAAAAATCGAAAAAGAAAACTATAGCGTACATGCGTAGTTTTATTTTTCTTGTTTTTCTGACATTACGTAAATGTATTTCATAATTTTAGAACTTATTAATTTTCATATTAGTGTTTCAAGAAAAAAAAAAATTAATTTTCATATTAGTAATAAGTACTTATATATATATAAAGGGAAAAAAACATTTACAGTTGTAATCTAGAAAGAGAAAAAAACATTTATGAGAAAGGAAATAAAAGCGAATAGTTACGGAGAGTTAGAAAACGACCACTCGGAAACTATTTACGCTTCTTATCCAATAAAAGGAAACAAAAAACGAAGAAGAAGAAGTAGAACCGCTGTTTCTCTCTCTCTCTCTGAATTAACTCACTCGCTGACAAAACTTCATTTTCTCGCCGGCAACTTTCTCTTCACTCTGATCATATTATTATCAAATATAACCTTTCTTTGACTCACAAACCTTTTCCCTTTCTTTGACTATTCTCTCTCTCATAGTATTATTCAAAGATGCTTCCATGAAACTTGATTCAAGTCAGTGAATCTTCTTCTTCTTCTCCTACTTCGTCATGAGTGACTCCACCAACAGCGTCTCTCCTTCCTCTGATTACGCCTCCATCTCCTCCGGCGACCAGGTTCTCCTTTTTTTTATCACCCTTCCTTAAAAACTCGATCTAGGTTTTATTCTCTGTTCAGAAAAATAAACGAAGCAGTTAGGATTTGAAAACCCCTTTCTGGGTTTTGCTTTCAACACTACTTCATTGCATAAAGTCTTTGTCTTTTTCTAGTTAGATCTTGCCTGAACTCACTTATGGATTAATATTGTTTCCGACATTTTAACACCAGTTGCTTAGCCTTTGTTGTGTCTTAAAATCACGGGTCAGTTGCAAAATTATTTCTTTTTATAAAAAGAACTCTCTTTTCCGTGAGTTTGACCAATATAAAGTGTTTGCATTGTACTACAAAGAAACTCAGAGTCGTTGCTTAGACCACATATGAATCAAATCAATGTTTATTTTAATTTTCATTTTGATGATTTGTAGTCTCTTCAGAGGAGTCGAAGGAGTGGAGAAGCAAACCGAGCCATTGTACGTGAGTCTCGACACTGGCACGATCTCTTCTGGTCAGCCATCTTTGTGATCCACCTGATATGCTTAGGCTTCGTCCTCGCAGTGCTTGGACTCAACAGGTTTAGAATCTCAGATAGGTTAAACATCGATAGATACACTCAAGGCTTCTTGGAGAATCACAAAGGCCTAACCGAAGACTACTGGCCACTCTACGCTGTAGCCGGCGCCATTGGAGTCTTTATCAGTTGGGTTTGGTCGTTACTTCTCGGCTCTTACGCCAATGAGATGATGAAAGTCTCGGTACACATCTTAACCACCTACTTGGCTGTGGTTAGCGTGCTGTGTTTCTGGTGTAGACAGTTCTTTTGGGGAGGGGCCTTCGCTATTGGAGCTTTGTTGCAGTTCTTGTATGTTATTTCAGTTATAGACAGGCTTCCTTTTACGATGCTGGTTCTGAGGAAAGCGTTGAAGTTAGTTTGGGGACTTCCTAAGGTTATAATGGTGGCGCATGCTTTTACTGTCTTCATGCTTTTGTGGATGTCTTTGTGGTCTTTTGGAGCATCTGGTGTTGTGGCTTCGAGTATGGGCGATGAAGGACGTTGGTGGCTTCTTGTGGTGAGCTGGCAAGTTTTGTGTTTTTTCATTACTTGGTTTCTGTGTTCTGCTTAGTTGTGTCTGAAAGTAAACATGTATATATTTATGCAGGTTTTTTCGGTTAGCTTGTTCTGGACAGGCGCTGTGTTGTGTAATACTGTACATGTTATAGTTTCTGGGATGGTGTTTCATGTTCTCTTTCAATGTGGTCAAGAAGAGTCAGCGTCTTTGCCTCCTAGTACTTTGGTAGAATCACTTAGGTACGCTGTGACAACGTCTTTTGGGAGCATATGTTATGGTTCTCTCTTCACTGCTGCTATTAGAACACTTCGCTGGGAGGTTAGTTTCAAGATTCTATTTACTGACATTATTGCATTTTCTAGTTCATGATAACATTGTTCTACGCAGATAAGGGGACTCCGGTCCAAGATTTGTGGAAACGAATGTCTACTTTGTTGTGTTGACTTCCTGTTTCATCTAGTTGAAACTCTAGTTCGGTTTTTCAACAAGTATGCCTATGTCCAGGTAAGGTAATCATGTTACTGTTATGAGCAATGGAGAATCAAAATTGATCAAAACTTTTGGTTGATTTTTATAGATTGCAGTGTATGGAAAAGGATTCAACAGATCAGCAAGAGACGCATGGGAACTGTTTCAATCAACAGGTGTAGAGGCACTTGTTGCATATGATTGTTCAGGTGCTGTGCTTCTAATGGGAACCATCTTTGGTGGACTAATCACAGGCTCTTGCATTGGTATATGGGCTTGGATTAAATACAGTGACAGAGTTATCATGGTTGGTTCTACTGCTATGTTGATGGGAATGGTCCTTGTAAGTTTTTTCCCTTCTTTTTTATGCACTCTATCAACATGAAACCAAATTGTTCATTATGTTTATTTGGTTGGTTTTTTCAGGTGGGTCTAGGAATGGTTGTAGTGGAGAGCGCGGTGACATCGATATACATATGTTTTGCTGAAGATCCTTTGTTGATTCAGAGATGGGATGATAATTTCTTCAATGAGATGTCTGAGATGCTTCACCGTAGGCTTCAGCATCGTAGCGCTAGAGCCCGTGAAGTTTTGACTACGGCTTGATTAGACCATGTTTCTTGGAAAGCAAGCGATATATAATTGCAATTAGGGGTGTTAAAAGCGGGCTAACCCGTCTTGGTAAATTTATTTTGTTAAATGGTTTATGCTTTTCTTCCGTTAAATCATGAATAGAAGTTGTGGACGATTTGCTTCATCAAAATGTATCAAATCTAATTTACTTATTTGCCTCAAGCAAGTGAAAAGAAAAACAGAACTGGCCAGAAGACCAGACAGCAAGAAGCTTTTGACTAACCATTGCAGATATTATCAACCTGACCCATAAGTTTGGTACATATATGTTTATAGTAACTTGAAATATCCAAAATTCTAATGAATTGTGCAGCAACATACTCCAAAGACGGTAACAAAAGATTAGTCATTCAAGGAATGCTATTTTATACAACTAGTATTCTCTGTTGAGGATTATCACTACTAGTACTAGTTCCAAGATCTATCAGCAAAGGTTATTAGTCGCGATGTTACAAATGGAGTAGATCATCAGCGACGTGTTTATTATTAGCATTGATAAACTAAGAAGATAAAAATATTAGAATCAAGGCTTTCAAAACATGAAAATGTATCAAAGTAATACAATTTTACTAACATATAGCAAAGCAGTTCATATACAGCAACCAGATTGGCGTTTTACAGAGAACAAACCAAAGAATTAGCAGAGAACACAAACAATTGGTAGCAGATACTCAATGCTTGAATCCTGTATTGGAGTTTTAGGTATAGAAAAAATCCATATTTGTTATTGCTATGTTCTTTATTTGTCCTTTTTTTTTAATAATCAAAGTCCTTTTTTTGTCCTTTTAGTAGATCTACAAGTTGTTGAAATCTCCTTCCATTATAACTGATTTGGAACTTCAACTCTATGGTGTTTGTAAAACATGAAGTAAATTGAAGCCTATTAGTTTTGAGAGGGTTTGTCTTTTGAGAATATAAAAAGCTCCTGCTTAAACTAAAAAAAATTGTCATCAAAATTGCCTTTAATCCATCTAATGGATGGTGGTTGACAAAAAGCTTTGGATCATGTTGGAAGTGTAGTTGATGATCCTCATCACTGTTGCATTGTCCATAAGCAACACGTCTGTTCCTGAGGGATTCCAAGAGGTTTAAATCAATTCTTTTGGGATAAGAAACCAAAAAATCTTATGATTAAACATCAGTGAAATTTGTATTTCAACAAACAAACATCAGCTAACCATTGTTGTAATATGCCTATTGGTGAATCAATTAAATAGATTGACAAAAGTATTACCTGTTAAAATCTGGATTAGAATCTTCTTTCTTATTACCAGTTCATTGTTTATTATTCATAATGTTGATTTTTCATTTTTCAACTGGTCAACTATATAGCAACCATGCATGTTCCAAGGAAACATGTTGATCATGACCCTCCCGACAAGGTTAAAACTGAAAAAAAGTAAAAGATTACTACATGACACTGAGCAGGAACCATATAAGGAATTAACACTTATTGCTCAAAAAGATTTGGTAAAAAACAATTTTGAGTCTAAAAATATCTTCTTATGTACAAAATCTGCATCTTTCTTCATATAGTTATGTTACTGCCACTAATATAAAATGTAAGCTTATGAAATCAGATATTCATACTAAGATTTTGTAAATACTAAACACTAAAAAAGTATTTTTCATGTAGCAACAATGAAGAGTATGAATTCATCAGTGATAATGGGAAATATGTCAAAATCAAATATGTCTCACATGTTATAGGTTCATCCATTGTGGTGGGAAGTTGTATTATATTTGTTGATATTCATTTTATTTTTAACATATTTTTTATTTATTTTGCGCAAGACAACTATTATAAGAAAAACATGAAACGAATTGAAGAACAGAGCCAAAAATGATTATAGCTTCTAGAAGCAACTTAAAACCCCAAGTGATTTGTGGTATGAAATGATATCAATCTAGTTCAATCAACTCTTGGTTTAATCATTCAGTTAAAATATGTTTGCAATTTAGTTTTCTTTATTTTCAACTATATGTAAGATTTTTAGCTATTTGAGAATGAATCAATCGAAAAACAAATATTATCCTCTTACTCAAATTTTCTCAGTCTTTCGAAGTGATCTTTCACTTTCTAGGCTCTAATTACCTTAGATATAGATTAATCATGCAATTAGGGTTGTTAAAAGCAGACTAACCTGTCTTGGTAAATCTATTTTGTCAAATGGGTCATGCTTTTCTTTTGTCAAACCAAATGTATAGAATCTAATCTATAGATTTTCGTCTTTTAGTAAAAAAAGGAAAATTAGTGAAAGTGTAGAAAGTTTGGAGTCATGTAAGTGGAAAAAAAAAACACAGAACTAGATAGAAGACCAATCAGCCATAAACTATTGAAGTTACATTTAATTGTGTTGAAGGAAATTCAAATTAGATTTGTCATTCAGGGTGGCTATTATACAGAACAAACGCAGAAAGTAAACCTCAAAAGTGTGGACATATTTTAGATGCAAGATAGACTAGGAGTAGTAATCGTCTAAATATAATTGAGGGCTTTCACTTGTAATTCGTAATTCCTAGTTTCAAGATCTTTAACTGTAAACTAAGAAAATGGAAGTATTGGAAGCACAGCTTTGAACACAAGAAAGTGTAACAAATGCAGTTCACATAACCAGCAACCAAAATGGCGTTTCAGAAAAAGAAATAGGAGAAGAGAGAACACATATAATGGAAACTTAAAAGAAAAGAAAAAACTCAGGATTGAAGATTATATATGGGTAAAAAACATTTGAAACGTTCAGGACTGGGCCACTGCACCAGCGTCAATAGAACGAAGCGCTTGGTTTGCAAAGTAGCGAACATCAACATCAGGGTCCTCGCTCAGGTCCACCAAACACTGACGGATTGTTTTGTCCACCACCTACCAAATTTCCAAACACAGTAATAAGTACATTCAAGTTCAACAAACTCCATCATGTCTTTAGATATAACTGAGTAATGTTTAATATCTCATCTTACTGATTGGTCTACTATGGGGATGAGAGATTGCAGAAGTTTAGCAACATTGAATTTGATGTTTGGAACTCTGCAGATAATAGATATGTTGCAACAAGACGTTAAGAAACTAAGATGTGTTCTTCAAGGAGTCTGACAAAGTTCTATATCTATTGAGTTTACCTGTCTTTTGCTGCCTCAACCACCACAGGGAGAAACTTAGAGCACGTGATTTCTGATCCCATTACAGGAGCCATGAGAGAGATTGCACGTAAAGCCATCATCCTGTGTAGGTAGTGCGGATTGTTAACCATTTCCAACACCTGTTTAGATGAAAAAGGTCACAATGGACCGAAGCTTTAGACCAAGGTCACATATCAGAGCCAATTGGTTAAGAAGGTTCTAGTATGAAATGCCCAAAGAATAAAACCTGGGGAACAATGTGCTGCATTGCCCATTCAGAACCAAACTCCTCTGCAAGGCGCTTTAGGTTGTTTGCTGCAGCTTCACGGATAGAATAAACCTGAAGGAGTAGAGGACAAGTGGATGAGAACTTATGCCAACATTAAAGATTCCAAAACTAAGGATTCAAGATAAACCTTGTCTTGCATCCACTGCATGCAGAGGGCTCCGAGCTTGTCATCGAAAAACCCTATACCTAACTGGCTAGCCAACAGAGGAACATACTCAATTATAGCAAGACGGACTCTCCAGTGCCGATCCTCAGCAAGCTCTACAATCGCCGGCAACAAGGATTGTGATAGCAGATCGATCCCAATAACCTGACGTAAAAGATATTCAGTTATACCAGTTGAACACAAAGACGTAATATAAGTCGCTAAACTTAAGACACACAAAGAGGGATATGCAGCAGACCTGGTTGACTTGGTCTAGCTTGCTAATGATGTTGAGACGTACATCAGGAAACTCATCTTTCAAAAGGGAAAGAAAGATCGGCAGCAGATGCTCAATTGTTGAATCCTGTATTGAGGATTTTAATTGTCAATACTTATTGATAATTAAACCACAAAAGTAATCATAAGATGTGAAAAACTGTTGGCTATCATTAGTCATATACCTTCCCAAGGATAGGAGCCATCCCCATTATTACTGAAGCTAGAGCAGAGCGGACATGTTGAGAAGAATCGGATGATAATTCCTGCAGACATGAGTTGGAATCAGAATATTACCGACGAGACACGTGTCATCAACCACCAGCTTATATGGAATTTAAGGACATTCATCAGAAGATAGAATGTAGTTACCTTCACACAAGGAAGGATGTGCTGAATCGCAAGCTCTGGATTCAAAAGCTGACAGAACTTAGTCACTTTTCCTGCTGCTGCTATTCGCACTTCAGCCTCATTGTCCCGTAGCAATCTCACATATGCAGGAACCAAATCCGTCCTACAGATATAGTAGCATAAAACTTGTCTTAAAATAATAAGATACATGTAAAACCATAAAGCTACCATCCAAGGCTCTAATATGTACGAGAAAGAGCCTAGATCCAGCAAGAATGACCCCCACAGTGTCACAAAGCACATACTTGGTGCAATCAGGACCCACTGCCTCACAAAGTTCGTATAGCTGATTAGCAACCATGTACCGCACCCTCCATGACTTATCCTGTTCTCAGAAAACAAACCATTTAGCATCAAAAACCGTCAGGACCACAAACTAAAAACGTAATACAAGAGATGTGAAAATATGATATCAACCGAAAACGCCACAAGTGCAAAACAAAAAGCTCAATTCACCTGAGAGAAATTGACAATAACAGGTAAAATCCGTGCAACACAATCCTGAGGTTCCAACAACTTTCCAAGAGCTGCACAGCCTTCAACAGCCAACAGTCTAACAGAATCCTGCTCTGCAATGAAGGTTAAAATTTGAAAAGAAAAAAATCAGCAACGGGGTAAGAGACTAACATTTCAAAAGGGGTACATATTCACTATAATAACCTTTCAAATGTGATCTACATATTCACCCCCTCAGGATATATACAAACCGTTCTAGATGATGAGCATGGTTAACTAATATATATATATATATATAATTCAAGCGTGTAAGTTACCATCTTTAGTAAGATGCTCGAACATAGCCATGATCTCAGTACTCAAAAAGCTCGACTCCACAGTTGTAGCAAACTTCCCCAAGTTAGAAGCAGCAGCTCTTCTCACCATAGGCATATCATCTTGACACAACTGACTATAACTAGACCGTAACTCAGTCTTCAACACATCACTACAACCTTGATACGCAACATGAAACAAACCACATGCTGAAACTCTCGCTGCAAACCATTCACCCGCTGCAAGCCTCTACATCAATTAAACAAACATTAAACCCTTGACTCAAAAAACAACAAAGGGCCTTTAAAGTAAATGCTTATTGAACCTTGACAAGAGGGACAAAGGAGTCAACAAGGTCACTCTCCTTCATCTCAGCACCAATCTTACAAAGCGAGTCCACAGCTTTCTCTCTCACGCTTGTCTCTTCAACAGTGCAGAGAGATTCAAGAGGAGAGAGAAGCACATGAGCATGCTCAACCCCTCCAACAAAGGGAATAAAAACTCCCAACTCCTCAGCCATTGCGAGGAGAACCTCATCGTCATCATCACTGTTCTCACTTAAAAAAGGGATCAGCTCTTTCCTCGTACGCTCCTCTCCAAGGGCACGAGCAATTGTAGATAGGCGACGGATAGAGTTCAAACGAAGCTGGATATCATCGTTCTTAAGCTCGTCAATGAGTAGAGCAATGGGATACAAAGGTTCATCCACCATAGCCATCTTAATCTCACCTTCAATCACTGCAAATTAAAAAAAAAAAATCATTCCTTGAAATGGTTAAAGGAAGGTACTTTATCGATTTCAGAGGTTAGAGGTTTAATTGGTTATTAGAGATCAAGCAATTAGGTTAAAAGAGAGAGACTTTGGATCTCTGAAGCCAAAAAAAAAAATCAATCACGGATCTCGAGACTACTACGAGATGAGAAGGGAATGTGAATCGGAAATGGAGACGTGAAAGATGAGATCTTTACGATGAGATTGAGAAGCAAAAGGATTTTCGTCTTACCGATCCAGAGCCGGTCTGTAAACGAGCGAGATAGAGAGAGAGAAGTGCTTTCAGATTCCGAAGAGCGAGCAAGAAGGAGAGAGCAAGAGGAAAGCGACAAAAAAATAAGGAAAAGATTAATAAAAGCATAAGGGAAGGTCTTTACTGGGCCAATATGTAGTTGGGCTTTACTTATGCTCCTTTAACTAACTCATTCTATTACAAATAATAAAAAAAAGTTTTAATATAAATATTTGGATTTCCAACATAAAAGTTTCTCAAATTATTTGTAATTAAGTCGACGAAGATCAAACACTTTTGTACACATTGGTCTCAGTACTGGCTTTGAGCATGTGCTCACAATGCACTAGCACAGGATCTCTTTTATTTTCAATTTTCATAAAGCAATTAAGGTCTTAATTTATCAAAATACCTATATATTTACAAGCAATTAGAACTCCAAATTTTCAGATTTATAATTGAAAAATTTTAAACTCATCACATGGCCTAAATATTATTTGGGCCGACCCTACTTGTTCTAACAAAAATGATGCTATCAAGCATCAGTAGTTCCTCTTAAACTTTTCTGGACATTTCTACTTTGATTAAAATTAAATAGACACAAATAAACACATATAAAGGATCACATCTATCCATGTTTATAAACTAGGTCACAAATGAAATTCCAAAGCTTCACTAACACATGCAAGAACTAACTCACCAGATAGCTCCAATATCATAACTTGTGTATTTTCTTAGATGCGATCGACAAATTTTATGATGTTCATGTTGCACAAAATTTGCAAAGCAAGTCATGCATTTTGTTAATACTACAAATTGGCCATATTTTTAGGCATGTTTGATCCATAAATGACATTCTTGATCTCTTCTACTATGTTATCTTTTTATTTTTCAATCTTCTAATCTTTTTGTTTATCACACCAATCTTCTTAATTTGTTTTGTTTGATCCTCGAAAAAATCTATCTTGTTTTGAGTTTTTTCTTGTAGTAAACTTATATCATGATAAACTTATATATTAAGCTGCATACATAGCATATAACAGATCAGATCAAAATTTTGTAGTGGATGCCAGAGCTGGACCTCTGTTAATGGTGACCCCATTTCATTTTTTTTAAAATCTTGTTTTTGTTATTTTATAAATTACATATGAAAAAATTATACATTAAAATAATCTAATAACGAAAGACAAATATACTAAAAATTATTTGTTTTATAACATAAATGATTAATATTTTTTAAACTTATTTATATATTATATAAATATTAATATAAAAATAAACAAGAGTTTATGGACTTTCTTAATAATGGCAAGCATTGTGTAGATAAGAGTATCCCCAAAAAGGAACTCTACTTTGAAGTTTCACAAACTCTATATTTGAAGTTTCAAAGTGATATTCTCCAAAAGAAAAATTTCAAAACTAACTTCAAAATTATTTGTATATTACATTATAGTCCTTATATTTGTCACAATTAATGGAAATTCATAAAACTTTTATAAATAACTAACACATATATAAAAATGTTACATCAATATTAATTAATAAAATTTTACATTAAGTATAAAAATAGAAATAGTAATACATAATTAAATATTAAACTACAAGCAAAATACCACATTATTCCATGAGATGATTGAATTACGAATGAAAAATGAAACAAAAAAGTTAACTTTAAAAGAAGTAAAAGAGAAAAAAATATTGATAATCGGTGATATTAATATCCATGAGTGCATTCGTTCTGAACAAGAAAGAATCATACGAAAAAGATGTCAAGAAAGTCAAGAACAACCATCTTTGATTACGAAAAACTTGTTTAGATTTGAGGATTTTGGAGTTTCCAAGACCTATTTACCAGATTATTAGTGTTGTTGTAATATTTAAATTTGTATAATAATTACGTTTTCATGTACTTTTAAAAAAAAAAAATTTAATTAAGTTTGTTTTGTAATATTCTTGTTTTCTAATTCTAATTTTAAAATAATATAAATTTTATTTAAATTTTTTTATTTAATTTTATGTGTAGAGCTTAATTTATAGAAATAAATTTAAGATCTGTGAGATATTTTTTTTTTAAAGATTAAAATGATAAATAAGAAAATACTTAAGAGTCCTAAATAAGATATGTAAATATAAAGACCAAATTGCAAATAAAAAGATGAAACTTCAAATTTGAAGTTTTGAAAAGTGAAACTTCAAATTTGAAATTTTGAAGTTTTTTTTTTGAAATCAAAGAACTTTATATTTGAAGTTATAGAGAGTATTTTGGAGATGCTCTAAGAAATTCTTCTTGGTAAGTGGTTTTGTTAACATCTGTTTGTTATTATATATATATATATGTATTCTAGCCAAATTTTATTCTACTAATTTTAGAAGAAGAACTAGAATTATGGAGAAGGAGCATAAAGTAATAGGATGTCCTTAACATCCTTTTTTGTGTGTGGAGGATGGTCATTCGGAAGTACTTACAAATTTTGTGTTATTGTCTTTATCTATGCATATGTTTAAATTGTGATAAAGACATCAAAACCATGAGCAAAGTTTAGAAATATTTGCATTTCCATTTTCTCTGGTTTCAACTCTGTTTCCTTGCTATCATTAACTCACCTCGGAAACAATGTATTGAAGCTTATATATATATTATTGCTGCATAGACAATAAGAAGTACTGAATTGTTAGTCTAGTAGAAGCTCCTGCTGAAACTAAAAAAAAATTGACATCAAAATCAAGATTGATGGTTTACAAAAAACTTTGAATCACGTTGGAAGTGTAGTTGACGATCCTCATCTCTATATACATTGTCCATATGTAACCCATCTGTTTCTAAGGGACTTCAATAGCTTTAAATCAATTCTTTTGAGACAAGAAACAAAAAATATCTTAAGTTTTGAGTATGACTGAACATAGGTTAATGATCCAACTGAAAGTGAAATTTGTATTTCAACAAATAAGCATCAGCCAACAAAACTTCAAGTCTGACTTAAATAACTTTCCAAAAATGGAATTAGCAACTTATTTCAAGACAACAACAAAAGAACTAAAGTAATTGTCTATACAAATTAAAAAAAAAAAAAAAACTATGCATCCAAAGTGCTTCTGCTAATCCTTGGAGCTGAAGCAGCTCCTTAGTCTTGTCCAAAATCCATCTTTAGTTATGTTCTTCACTGTGTCACTAGCTGGCTCTTTGAAATCAGCTTTGGTGCTAAGCTCCTCAAATGCGTTAACCACATTCTGTAGCCTTGCAACAAACTCAATAAGAAGAGACGCAAATGTGGCTAGAGACAAAGAACTCGCGCTCTCATATACTTTGGATTCTATCTCATTGATCGTAGTTCCACCTATGAATGAGACGCTTGGCCAGTGCTCTCGGTTCCTAAACATCATACTCTCAGTTGACATCCAAAGCTGAGAATCATTACCAGTATGTGGACTCTGATGATGATGATGGTTGTTGTTGTTAGTATCCCAAATCTGGCTGAGAGATTGAATCACTTTGGTCTCTTCGTCCTTGGCTTCATGATAGTTTTGTTGCGCTTGTTCAGCATCAGCTTTCTCTTTCATAGCAGCCCAGCTTTCTGAGTTGACAAGAAGGAAAGAGTTGCTATCTATCTTCATCTGCAGTTCCTCTGCTGCTCGTTGAACTTCTTTCAGAATGTTTCCTGGGCTTAGCTTCTCCATTTTCTCCACTTTTTCTCCAAACAACCTCAGGACTTTGGCTCCTTCGTTTCCAACTCTTTGAAGTTCCTGACGGAAAGCTTGTCTTTTCTCTGGTGCTGCCTAAAAAATCACACACCCATTAATATCAAACAGTAGATCACACTTTGCAGCAATACGGTTGTTCCTTAAGATATTTTATTGGTTTCAAGCATATTTTTGAGCAGTTTAATGACAGTCTAGTTCACCAGGAAGAGTAACCCTAGTAACATTTTGAAGCAGGTGAGCATAATCTCTAATGTCATGCCTTAGATAGAGTTGAGTAATAGGAAAACAGTTACCTGAATTTCTGAAAGAATGCAGCCATGCATAGCCATGACCATGAAAGCGCAATGCCTAACGGCACCACTAAGTTTGACATAGTTAGCCCAGGGATGATGGAAAGTCCTGTAAGGTCCATGTGGAGGCTCCCATACTGCAAAATCAAGCTGCAAAAAAATTATAAAAAAAGTACTTTTTTATAATCTATGTTCTTTTGGAAGTTATCTAACAAAGTTACTATACGGAAAACACACCAGAGAATCTTCTTGGCTCGTAGATTGGACTACAGACCTGTATCCACTGTATAACGGATCATCAGAAGCTTGGTAGGTGAGAATCTTCGAAGGAATCCTCTCGTATTCAACACATTGTAAGTACCCATTAACACATCCTGAAAGTTAAACAAAAGTACAAACAAGATCAGCCAAAACCCACCAAAGCCATACAAGAGACACAGCCATTAAATGTGTCTACCAACCTTCGAGAGAATTAGCCACACTCTTGAAATTCTTAACGACTAGTTTATGAAGGTCTTCTCCAGCCCAAATCGGGAGTATAAATATGTTCACACCCAAACAGATACTTGCACCAACTAGGATCAGTAAAAACCTGTAATAAGCAGTGCTGAAAAACTCTCTGGTGTTGTTTCCAGAGACAAGAACGATGCAGAACGTCAACAGAAACACCCTGAATGCGTATTCATACGACTTCATGGCCGGGTAGAGTTTCAGATAACTTGCACTGAAACCTGAAGAGAGAAACGCGTTACTAATACATTAAATGGGTCAAATTATAACATGTGCTGATAGATTTGGTAAATGGTGCAACCTGCAAGGAAGATACTGATGATAATGATTTCTTCCTCAAAGTCTCCAGCTGAAACAGAGAGTCTAGCTATCCCAAGAGCAAGTCCTCCAGCAGACAACGTGCCAATAGCTCTATTGAATCCTTTCACCAATGTTGCTCCTTCAGGAAAAAAAAAACAGAGTTGAGCATAGCATAAGCCAGAAGATAAATCAGATCAAAGATCAAGCAAGCAGCAGACTTGATGTGAATATAATTCTAATCACTCGAAACCCATTAACCATAACAGATCAAAATGAAATTTTTTAATCCTCTGAACATAATAAAAATTCAAACTTTAACATATGTTGCTCCAACACAAAACAGAGTTAAACAGATTACAAGCCAGAAACATGATCAAAGATCTCAGAGAGAGAGATCAAGCAAAGCAGCAGACTCTGATGTTAATAGAACTCTAATTACTAAAAACCCATTAACCAGAACAGATCAAAATCAGATTTTGAATGCTCTGAACAGAATAAAAATTCAAAACAGAGTTAAACAGAGTATAAGCCAGAAAACATGATCAGAGAGATCTCAGAGAGAGAGAGAGATCAAGCAAGCAGCAGACTTTATGTCAATAGAACTCTAAATCACTCAAAACCCACTAACCATAACAGATCAAAATCAGATTTTGTATGCTCAAAACATAATAAAAATTCAAACTTTGTCAAGTTACCTATGCTATACTCAAAGACGACGACAACAGTAAGTATAGCCCACACAGCGTACTTGCTAGCGTCAGCGAGCGGCTCTTTGAGGTAAATAACGAATGAACAGAGCGCGAGAGCCATCCCCATCTTGACGGAAAAGTAAACTTTCCGGCGATCAGAACGACCCATCTCGTACAATTTAGCAGCGACGTCGTATAAAGCCATCCATGAAGCGACGATCCCGTCGGAGAAGAAGCGGAAACAACGGAACTTTGATCGGCGATCATCATCGAGGAAGACACTTGAGTCGTTGAAGCCGTCCAGAAGAATTTCTCTGGTTTGGTCTCCGAACAATTCCGATTTGCTAGTCATTTTGATTGATCTCTCTTCTCTCTTTTTGGCAGATCACAGAGATGTAGAGTGATGACTGGCCTCGTACAAAAAAAATATTATTAAACGATTTGAGTTGTTTTTGTATATGAGCAAACACACATACAAATAATTGATCGCTCACGTTGATTCTGATCTGATTTAGAATATAGAATATTTTATATTGGCTGGTGGTGCTATGGCGCTCTCGTGATGCAAGTGCAGTTTTTTTATTTTGTAAAAATATATTAATATCTACATGTATCCATTTCAGTTTGAATATTGCATTGACAAATTATTTCTACAATGAATATATACTTCTGAGTCTATGATTAACTCGGTTCTTTTAATTTGAGTTCTTAGTTTCACCTAAACTGCTTTTTAGTTTTTAATCATCTCTTAAATAAGGGATATATGATGTTTCTTAGTCGAACAATGAAACTATTTTGAGTTCTTAGTTTCACGTAAATAAGATGTTTCTTAGTCGAACAATGTAAAAAAAATGTTAATTCATTAGTTAAAAACCCTAAATAAAAGGCCAGAATTAATCATGCTCTGAATATATACAACGGTCAACAGTCATTTGACATAACCTAAATAAAGCTAAAATAACCATGCAACAGAGTTTCCCACAGTTCCTAACTGAGGATGACCTTTTGAAAGTACTTAATCTTAAGAAAGGGTAGAGACTAGACAAGAAACAGAACAAAACAGAGACATGCCAATTTTGGGAGATTTAATAAGTCACTACATGGGGACAAGCTGCCAATCTATCATATAACTGAGAGTTGCAACTAATTCGTTTAACCCAAAGTCGGATGACAGACTCTTTTTTCTTTCTTTAGCAAGTGTGGTCCAAATTCCGAAATGTGTTGTGTATAATTTTATTTATTAGTTGTTTATTGCTAAAGGAGAATATTGTTGGCCGTTGGTTGGTCCAGCACCCCATATATAGGTTTAATTTAATTTTATCATATTTATTATCCGTCTAAATCACACATGAGACACATCATAATTCATGCGAACAAGTGCTTAAATGACAAGTTTTATTAGCAGTCATGAGATCATTTCTCCAAATTATTATCGGGGAAAAGAGAGAGCTACTATGTTGCTCTCAAATTGTCTCTTCCGCATGGGGCTAAGTACAAGCTATGCCACCTTGTTAAGACACACTGGGTGCCGAACAGCCGAAGACAAGTTGCACTATTGTGTTTACTAGCAGGAAGACAATGATGGTCACGTCGGAGTTATTTTTTCTAAAGATCTAATGGCCATCCATTACGAGAGAATTACGAGAGTCATGTTCGTTTCAAAAAGGTTAATATATAATGGACAAAACTGAAAGAGACGAGACAATAGCATAAATGTTCATATATATATCTGCGTAACATATATCTCTATTCTTTTTCATTTAGAATGCTGCATATTTCTTCTTGTTTCTTTTCAGGTTCTCGTTATGTATCAGATACTGATATTTTTATTTCTTTGTTTTCAGAATATCGGAGTGACATTCATATTCTCAACGTTGCCAATAAATCTGCTTGTTTGAGTTTGACCAATAAGGAATCTGCACGGAAAGTCTGGTGATAACCTTAAAGTGAATCATTTCGTTAGTCTTACTTTCTGTTTGGTCTCTATCTCTTCTTCATATATGTAATTGGGTACACGAATGCCACGGACTAAACGAGTTAATTCTATATATATATATATATATATATATATATATATATATTCTCCAGCACATTCATAATTTCATACTTTCAAAGTTAAAGTCCAAAATTCCATATGAGAACAAAAAAGGAAGTGAAAAGTCGTCCCTCGGCTTACTTCAGTTCTTTCTTTGCATCTAAAAAGTTTCGGAGCCTCGATCATTTTTTTTCTTCTCGAAATTAACATAACTTTAACACCCTAAACAATGTCTTTATAGTGGAGATTCGAAATTAGTTACAAAGACATAACTTCACCAGAAGAAAGTTTTTTAATAATCAATGAACTATCAGCCCTAAATCAGTCATTTATTTATCAAAATTATTGGATGAAAAGTAAAACCTAAAAATTCAGTAGGTTCTTCACTTTGCTCTTACTCTTAGGCTCTTAGACTAAAATTTGCTCTTAGCCGACTGTAATACAATGAGCTTGTATCACTTTACATTACCTAGTAGTAATCATGAAATTTACATGAGTAACAAAAACAAATCAGTAGGTGTCCAGACCGCACAATTTTAAGGCAAGTTAGGATTTTGATTTGGGTCAGCATTTATAATCAGTTTCACATATGATAATTCGATGTGAATGTCGTCAATCTTCTGCGGTGCCAATCTACCTAGTTAGTGAACTGCTTCACACAGAGTATACTATCACTAAATGTAATAAAAATAGCTATGTCTTTGTAACCAAATCAAGATGAAATACTTTTGTTTTATTTTTCAAATGTTAAAATTTATTCAAGTTATATAAATTAAAACTAAAGGAAACCAATCAAAAGTTTAGAGCATCCGCAGCAATAGTACGAGAAAGAGATTCTCATCATTAGTTTCATTAATTAATTACATAAAATAGGAGAGAGAAGGATAAAAGTGAGAGAGATAGAGAAAGATGGCTGTTCCTAAAGAAACGTTCGGGAGAGTGGAAGAAACTTTTCTGTTACGTGCCATCACATAATTAAATTTGTTTTTTCTTATTTAAATTTTTATGAAAATACTAAATTATATTACTATTTATATGTCTGAAGAATTGGTAGAGAAGCTAATCCAATGCTGATGCTCTTAGTGAACTAACAAACAAGAACAAATATCATTATTTCAAGGTATGATTGACTTTTCTGATCTTCAATATTCCATAAATCTAAAAACATCAACTGCAGTAGTTTTTCTACAAAATTAGTTGGTCTAATAGTGCTTTGATTTGACATCTTTAACTAGTTTATACTAACCAAACATGGACGTTTTGGCCTTTGTTATTTCTTTCTTTTAAGGTAACCAAAATTTTGTTCTCTTCATAATAAAATAAACTTGTAATTTGCAAGTGTTCCAAAGAAGTGTCTATTTTTTTCATATTATTCTTTTATATGACCCCTAAAAGAATTGTTCATTAACCTTTTTTGTTTGTCTTTTTTTTTTTTTGAAACACAACCTTTTTTGTTTGTCTAAGAATATAAAACTGGGTCAAAATCTTTACTCCCCAAAAAAGAAAGAAATAACATATAACCTTATATTCTGACCAAAAGACAAAAACTTTTATGGAAAATAATAATAAAAAAAACCACCAAAGTCTCCAATAAACAAAAAGGGTATAGAGAAAGAAAAAAATAACGAGGATGGAAACCGTCGAGATGGGGACCACACAAGAAATCCATTGGATAAATACGCTAACCAATTAAAACACGTTTACAAGGATCAGCTTCAAAACTCGACCAATCAAAATCGAGATAAGACTTCTAGGTGGGTCCCAAACAAAGACAGAACCATTTAAAAAGCGCATAAAGAAGAATCCTCTGACACAAGAGAACGCACTTTCATGAGGGACATGACCTTTCAATCTCAAACACCCAATATTATACTCGTACACTAACTTTTTGCATTTCAACTCAAAGTCAAGGCCCCCTCGTGCTCTCTCTCCTTGTTGATTTTCTTTTTCTTTTTTTTTTAATTTCATTTCGTTATTAATATGTAAATTTTAGCGAATGTTGTTAGAGATAAGAAGGCGAGAGCCTGTGACTGCTGCGATAAGAAGCAGGCACAATGGTTCTGCGCCGCGGACGATGCTTTTCTTTGCCAGTCTTGCGACACTTCTGTTCACTCAGCGAATGCTCTCGCTGGCCGGCACGTGAGAGTTCGTTTGAAGAATACATCTCCTTTGCAAGAAGCTGCAACGTGGCATCAGGGGTTCACTCGTAAACCTAGGACTCCACGTGGATCTGGTAAGAAGAATAATTTGTCGACTTTTCATGGTTTGGTTCCCGAGATTAGTGTGGAGGATCAGACGGATAGGGACAGCTCTGAGGTTGAAGAGCTGGTGATCTGTCGAGTGCCGGTTCTTGATCCAATGGTGGTTGAGACAAAGATCGAGTTACCTAGTGTTGTAATGATCGATGATCAGGAGGAGGATAAAGACAACGCTGAGAGTTATCTAAATGGTTTTTTGCCCACCGACGTGGAGCTTGAGGACTTCGCTGCTGACGTGGAGATTCTACTCGGTGGAGGGGTAGACACAGATTCTTGTACAATGGAGGAAGTGGGATTATCTGATACAGAAATGTTTGAAGTAAAACAAGACGAGTTAGAGGAAGAGGCAGAAGAAGAAACAAAAGGCATGAACATGGACATGGACATAGGAATAAGCGATGGTGATCAGGACGACACATACGAAGAAGATGTAATAGATAATGTTGAAAGTAGTGGGGAATGTGTTAAGGTGAAGGAGGGGAAGGAGCAAGAGAATGTTTTAATGTTGAGATTAAACTACGATTTGGTTATATCAACTTGGGGAGGCCAAGGTCTACCGTGGACATCAGGAGAGCCACCAGAAGTAGACTTAAACATCAGTGGTTCACCAGTTGTGTCTATGGTAATTTTAGAATATCTTTTTTTTTAATGACTAAGAGGTTTTGAATCCGAATTTAATTCTTTTATAGGAAAAATCGAACTTATAACTCATTAGATCTCTACTAAGTGATTCAAGAATTTTAGGCTTTTAGCCACTAGGCTAACTCGACATTGGTAAAACTCATTATTTATAATAGTGAGTCTTTCTTTAATAGCTAGATTAGTTCATGTGGTTTATGTATTACTTAGGTTCAAGTTAGACGTGGTATCCAAACAATTTAATGTTGAAACTGTGTGTGTGTATAGGGGAAAAATGGAGGAGAAAGTCATGAGAAGCATTACGTGGGTCGAGGTGTACCCTCAAGTGGGGTTAGGGATGGAGGAAGAGAAGCTAAAGTGTTGAGGTACAGAGAAAAGAGGAGGAAGAGATTGTTTTCGAAGAAGATAAGGTACGAGGTACGTAGACTGAATGCAGAGCAAAGACCTCGCTTGAAAGGAAGATTCGTTAAGAGAGCTTCACTTGCTGCTAATTCTACTGAAAATTCACATTAGGTGTGTGAATTACTGAATATTCTTGTAATATATCTCAATTTACTTTTTTCGGCAAAAAAATTAAGAGTTTTGTTGAACTTTCTTCTTCTGCAACAAAACTTTTTTTTTTTTTTTTTGCATTTAGTTGTGCTTTTATTGCAAGAGAACCAGTAATATGAGTTTCTTGTATGGATATAACTGATGTATATTATCTAGTGATAAGAATGTTAAAGCGCTTTTTTATTGTTAAAATTACTATATATTAGACATGTTTACCTCTCAACAAAAAATGAGCGAACAAAACTTCTCAAATCAGTAACTAAACTATTTTCTCAAACATATGTTTGCCACTTTCAGTGCAATCAAGCTAAACCAAACACACCTTTTGGTTTATGTAGCATTTTCTGTACTGTCCAGTTTCTTTATAATTGCTAGCTAAGATGAAATTGGCAACGAACTATACCACACACGCGTATATTGGACTAAACCAACTATCTATCAGCGCTTGTAAAAAAATATCTTCATATATCCTTATCAATGACCCATTGTTGATTTAAATTTTTGGTACATAACAAATGTTGTTTCGGTGGCGCTTAACAATTTGGTAAGATGGATAATTTCAAACAACTTTTGTTTGGAAGTGCTATAATATGATTGTCTACAGCTACTATGTAAAACAGTTTTATAAAGTGTGAGTAATATACATTAAAGAAATTCATTTTGTTTTTGTTTTTATAAATGATACAAAGGTCCAATTCATAAAAAGACAGCAACTAAAAGATGAAAAAGTCACATTGTCGGATGTTGTTGTGTAGCTGAGAGTTGGATCCACAGGAAGGAGAGGCAAAGGATTTGTAACTTATATCACATTCAACCTTTCGATTTGCCGCTTTTCCTGTTACAATGAAAAGTACTAATATTGAAGAATAAACAATTTTTTTTTTTAAATCATACTTTGTTCTTCAAAAATATTAAGGTTAGACTTAGAAAGGCTTCTTCATTTAAGTGTCTTCCTACGAAAAAGTTTGGTTTAAGGAAGTAAAAGAATCATTAGACGTCACAAGCGAAGTAAAAAAAAAAAAAATCCAATCTATTAATTTTGAAATTGCTTTAAATTTCGGTGAACCAAACGGATTCTAGTAGATAAGAGATTTGGCTCGTATGAAAAAAATGTCTGATTTTTTAAAGAATATGAATACATGCTTCATCATTCTCACAAATCACAATAGATAAATAACCTTAAATCGAGTTTTTCTTTCTAGTTTTTTTTCTGCCTTTTTAGTTTCTTTGTGGATTTTCTCAAAAAAATTCATTTGAAGATATGTTTTTGATCACGAATCTGTTCTTTAACCATATAAAATATGAAGTTAATCAAAGGTTGAAGTATCCAATGAATCGCAATGTGGACATTTTAAAAGAAACTATCAAAACTTGCAAGTGACTGATATTGTATTTAGATGGTTGTGAGAAAATGGCAAATAAGAATTGTTGTGACAGAAAAAGTACTCCTTTCGAAGAACATTAAAATTTATATTTTTATCTTTGTGTTGAAACTCAATTTTTCATTTTTTTGTCAATTATTAGAAAATCCTTGTATGGTGGCATTCAAGCCGTTGTCTTGGGAAGTTCGGTAAAAGGATAATGAGGGATGGTTGGTGTATAATGATGAGCTTAAGCCCAAAAAGTATGTTCATAGATCTCTGAGACTCAGCAATATAGATTGGGCATGACATGGAGCCTCATATCTTCGATTTGGAACTCATGCACCTCTCTAGCATAGTGAAGTGAATAAATATATGTATAAAAGAACGGTTGCTACAACAACCAAATCGGATTTAAAAGTACCATAGATACATGCAAATCATTACACGAAGGCAACACGAAATGCAGAGAAGTCCTCTAATCTCAAAGTGAAAGGATGCGATGAAAATTAGAGAGCACACATGATGCTTCTATGCCCGAAACTGAAACCAACATGCCATGACGTCACGTGGATAATACATGGCCTTCTAATAAGACCTTAAAACATAGCATTCCTCTGACAAAGAGGAGATAGTAACATAACTTTTACTCTATACTATTCCGAAGTTACATATATGCATGAGCTTCATAAGGTTATACATTTATGATAAACGTATAATGATATGATAAGTCCTTTATTTATAGAGTTCAATTATAGAATAACTTTTATGATTGTTTTGTTATGATCAAAAGGGAAATGTTGAACTGAAATTCGGAGGCTGTGTTCCTAGACTTTCTCTTAAGATCCTTTCCATCTCTTCAGCAGTATACATATTCCCTCCCTGTTACAACAATTACTATTAATATAAATCCATGAAACTATATATAATCATTTCATATGTGATAATTACTTGAAGTATATCCATTGGCTCAATATCCAAAGAATTAAGGTCATAAAACGCACTTGCCGCTGAGAGTTTCATGGACAAAAACTGCAGTCACAAGACCATTAAACCATTTAATTATTGAATAGTATTATCATTTATTATTATAAAAGGAAAATTGGATTTCTGAAGTGAAATGTATTCATTATATACTGGCCTGACCTCGATTTGATTCTGCAGCGATCGAACATAATCTATGATGACTTCAAGCATCACTGCCATACCCATTGTCTGCATCATGTTTGAATTTCATCAAAGAAAATAAACCCATTTGGATTAAGTATTATCAGAAATTAGGAGACAGATTATTTGTTATACTTTGTATTTTTTGTTAAAACATTCTGTTCATTTACATTCGTCAGTCGTGACGCTACTACACCCTCTGTTATTTGAATTTTGGTATTCCGTATTATAAGTATGGACCGCAAAAAAATTCATTTATCCATATATTTTATATGGATCCTATTTGTGTTTCTTATTTCACAAGTTTAACGATATGTGCACATGTTTTAATCCCTAGAAGGATTTATGAATTTGAAAATTATCACACATTTCCATTTAATTAAGTATGTGTTAAATTTTAAACATACCAGCATAAATTGGTATTTTGTAGATTCTCCACAAATATTTGTTAAACAAAAGTTCTTGTAAGGGTTTGTTGGATTTTTAGTTACCTTGTAGCAGCCGGGAACAAGGTCTTGTAAGCACTTCAGCCTTTCATTTATCTTCTCTCGTCGTACCTTAATACATTCCAAAAACAATCCAAAACATGACAATTTTTCTTATATTTTTCCCAAATTTATAATTTGTTTTGAGTAAGTAAAATATTTGTTGAGATACCCTTTCAGCCAAACTGTGGCTATCAGTAGCTTGACCCCTCTTAGCTCGAACATGAACAACACCTCTTGGCTTCTGAATATCATCTTCATTAATGGATTCTTCCTCTTCCGACCTCTTTCTTCTTTTCTTCGACCCACTCTCTTCTTTTTTGCCTTTTCTTCCCAAATCACCTGCAGTTTCTAGCTTCATTAAGTTTAAGAACATATATATAATAATGCGGGAAACAAAAAGAGGAAGAAAAAATCTTCACCGTGCGATAAACTTGGTGAGAAGTGAGAATTATTGTGATGGGCATCAACTAAAGCTCCATCGGAGAAAAGCATGAAACTGGACGGAGTAGTAGAAACTGGTAAGTCCAGGTTTATTAGCTCTTGATTTTGATTAATATTTGTTAACAAAGGGTTAAGACCAATGTTAAATTTATATGGCTCATACTGTGCCATTAGAGACAATGAATATGATTTCTATTGCGAGCTTTGTTTTTCTTTTTTTCCTTTCTCTAAGACAGTTGTAAATTCTGCAATTGAGTTGTGATTGTTTATATAGATAGAGATTATTAAGATGGGATCAATATCTTATTAAAATTCTTTTATTTTTTCTAAATGATTTGGTAATTGCTCCTTGTACTGTGTGGCTTTAGTGAGAATGCGAAAGAAACGTGTGAGGATCAAAGAGAACTCGTACCTAGGTTTCCATTTATCATTGTGCAGTAGATTTTGTGGGACCCATGTTCAGTGTTAGATATATCTAACCTGTCGGGACCTTTTGAGTATACCTTTTAATGTAACAAGTATGGTGCCAAATTGAAACACAAGAAAATGCATTGATGATCGTGGAGTGATCACAACAAGTTTTTGCATCATTAGGCTATCAGACAAAACGTAAATACAACGACTTAACATTAAAGGGGTAATAACTCGGTTACTGGAAATACATTAACTCTTTTTGTAACACTCAAGACTATATAAGTTGCCAAAATAGCGTCTAATTAAATTTAACTGCTTACATGGGAAACATTTGTACAAATTATATGAGTAGTTAAAATACTTTATTTTGTTTTAGTTCTGAAGCACGTTACAAGTAGCACATCTGTTAAATCCCCAAAACCCTAACTCTCTATCTTTTCCTTGAATAGCTGCATGCATGGTTCCAGGACTCAATCTTGTTTTTCTACACGAATATTTTGTTTTCCCATGTATTTGTAACTGTATAACTTGTAAATATAGGAGATAAATGTTGAACAATTAAATTTAGAAAAACAAATATTGAATAATTAAACTGGAAGCCAAACACGTTTCAACAAAAATATTGAACTTTTCGCATTGTGTGTGGCTCTCAAAGTCTTAGTTTGCAGCCAAACAATGTGGCCTAGTAACATAGACAGTAGATTTGGCCGGTTAGAAATTTTAAAAAAGCACAATTAAAAAAAATAAAGGAACTTTTTATTAGATTTCGGCTCTAAACTCTTTCAAAGAGGACCAATCTCATATCATATTCTCTTTCTGTTTTTCAATAGATGAAGTTTAAAGATTTTTTGTTTGTTTCAAATTCTTTCTGTTTTTCAATAGATGAAGTTTAAAGATTTTTTGTTTGTTTCAAATTACATCACATTTTAGTGTTAATTTTTTTTATTGATAGATGGTATTATTAGGAATAAAAATCTCACATTGGTTGTTGAAAAGGATCCTTAATATTATATAAGATAGATGGATTATTACACTTATCACCAATTGCTTTTAGTTTGGAAATCTATCTAGCTTAATATACTATTAGAGCCCTCTATCCACATCGATCTTTGCACCATACTTGTTACATCAAACCCGATACTCATCGATCTGGTTCAAAGATGGCCCATAGATCCTTGTCCGAACATTCTGAGATTGACAATCAAAGAACCATTATCTCGAGAGAGTGTATTAGAGATAAATGTCTCACATCGGCTGTTGAAAGAGATCCTTAGTAATATATAAGATAGATAAACCACTCCATTTATCACCAATTGATTTTAGGTTAAAAGTTCATCTAGCTTGATAGAAATTTTATATTCTAATACCATTAGTCTATTTGTTTAATTATAGTTAGTAAGATAGTTAATAATATATTTGTATAGAATTTTTTTTTAAAAAAGCTAAATGTTTATTAATTTACATGCACAATCGTCAAAGAAAAAAAAAGTAATTAAATTTGGATCTCGGTATTTGGAAGGGTAGTTATGTAATTGTCCTACACAAATTAAGAGCATTTCTAATAGAGGTTTTTTTCATTAAAATTTTTAATATATGTGTTATATATATATAGATGTATAAATTATATATGCATAAATAATTGTAGGATCCACAATTATTGTGAAATTCCGTAAATAAAAGTTTTTAAGAATTTTGAAAACACTATTTTAAAAACTATTATCTATGAATTTCCACAAAAATTGTGGACTCTACAATTGTGTATATATATATATATATATATATATATATATATAACACATTAAGAATTTATCGGAAAAATCCTCTATTAGAGATGCTCTAAATATTATTTTAGATTAACATTACAAACTGCGGTTAAATTATCAATCAATTCTTTAATAATAGAAATTAAAATTTTTGATTTTGATGTCGTGACATAAGTATGATTGTGAGGAGGCAGAAAAATCCAAGTCCATCTCTATCGCAAAGATTAACTTCACCACTTTCCATTTTCTTACGTCAGTAATGAGGCAATTATCCAACTACTACTATTCTATCTAGGATTATCTCGATTTCATTTTATCAAAAAATATGCTTTCACATTAATTATACTTCATTTTTCATTACACATTAAGGTAATAATCTTCTCAATGCTACAACAAAAGTAAATGCTTTGTTAATGGGAAATATATTTATTTAAGAATAAACACGAATTAGTTAGGTATTGGACTCTTGCCATCTAGGATAGGCACTCCACCGCTTCCCCTCAGCACAATGCTTATATCTATCATAGAACTTCGTAGTGGTCTTAATTGTTTTGAATCATCTCCTCTACTAGTATAACTACGAGGAGAGAAAATTTCATGTGGATTTATTTTAATGCTATTGACTTTCAAAAAAACTTCGTAGTGGTCTTATATACATTGGTATTTAAGAAAAATTCATGCTAAAATGACTTTTAGGGATGAATCATGATAGTGGTTTTCCTTACCTTTAGGACAAAGTTATATAATGTGATGGCAAATTCGTGTTTGTTGCTTTTAATTGTTGTTATTTCAAAACGAAGTTCTTTAGTAACCTCTTCTAAATTTAAATGAGATCTAACTGTTTAAACAAATTCTCAAATCTAACCGTGTTAAACAAGCATCTCATAGCTCGGTCTCTATGAGTTTTGTACAGTATTCCTTTTTATATTCATAACAATTAGAAAACATCAACTTATTTTTTTTACAAAAAAGAAACAATTAGAAAACATGCAGAAATATTAGAGATTCAAAGGGTCTAACTGGTGACCATCATAGAAACATTAGGAATGAATAGGAAAAAAACGTAGAGGAATAAAATTATAGGAATGAAAAGAAAAATTATTCCTTACCAATTTTGGTGAGGAATAAATTTGTTCTATATTCCACTAGAATACAAGGAATAGAAAAGAAAAATTAATCCTTATAAATGGTAAAACAAATTAGGAATGATAAGGAATGCATTTTTCCCTTTCATTCCTTGGTCACCAGTTAGACCCAAAGATTCCTAATTCTCTGGGGAATTCAAAGCCTCAAACAAAAAATTCCGCTGAACTAGAAAAGTTGAGAAGAGCCATGTTACTTAAGTATTCATACTATTGAAGCTGCTAAAATCTGGACATCTTTTTTTTTTCACTCCAACTTCTTTGTAGAGATACATTCACTTCAACTTCTTTAACATTTTCTTAAAAAAAAAAAATCTTTTTAAAAACATTGTAGCTTAGGAAACATTATTGGTCTTTGCATGCACGTGTACATGGTACTGACTAGCATTCTGTTACTTTGCCTATTTTGGTATTCAGACGTGTTTTCTTTCATACATTTTACTAAATTCTTAACTATTGAGAAGTGGGTTGCACACAATTGTAAGAAACAGACTTAAGAGTATCCAAGAAAAAAGCAATAGTAGAATAATGTATCGTTTAAGGTGTGTTATTGTTCTATTAATATTAGTTTCTTGTTTTAAACGTTTAAAATACAGGATGCACACCAAAGAAAACAAATAGCCTTGTAAATTTTAATCCTGAATGTTCATACTAATTCACAATTAAATTAGAATTTTTGTTTTGATGATGATGTCTTGATCACAGTACAATGTCTAAAAGTATGTATAGACGGGGACTAAATGTCCAACTAATCGGCAAATCAGATCTAAATGAACTGATTTTAGAACGATTTAAAAATTTCGTTCTGTCTTAACAAAAAAAATTGGTGTAGTCTAATCAATTATCACGGTCTATGTGTTAAGAAAAAATTGGTGTAGACATCAACCTAATCAATTATCACATATAAGCTTTTACCTACTGCCTGCCAATTGCCTGAACATTGAAATATCAATTAATCACCAATGGAATTCCGGAAAAAGAAACTGATGGGCACAATTTACAATTACTAACTTTCTAAATTAGGAAACCATAACTGTTCTCCATCACTACTTGTTCCTTTCTAGTTTCTTCATTCCATGTGTTTCTCTATTTTTAACTTTTTGTTCTGCCCTACCAAACTTATCATGAAACAGAGGCTGTGTTATTGAGTTATTTACCTTTCTATTATAGATTTGGTAAACGGATTATCCAAGGACTAGTTCCATTAACATAGAAACAAGGTCAACAAAACCACATCTTAACTGTGTTGCACAACATGCGTATCAAAACAAAGTATTTAATTAATTATGGTTTTATAAAGTTTTGAACAACAAACTGGTTAATATGTGGTGGAGAAATTTACTTCCCACCTTTCCCATAACTGTCTCTGAGTGTGACCGTCCGGTTAAACACAAGCTTCCCAGGCTCAGAGTCCTTGTCCACCGCAAAATAACCTAATGCATCGTCACAAAAGTTGTGGTTAAAACATGTATCATAGAAATACAAAGCAGTTTTTACTTTTTATGATCATGAAACAGGAAAATACCTAGCCTCTCGAACTGGAATCTGTCACCGACCACAGCATCTTTAAGGATTGGTACAGCATAGGCATCAGAAACCACCACTTTGGAGTTTGGGTTAATGTCAGTGAGCCACTCATCATTAAGTTCAGCTGGGTTCTGTTATAATTAAATAGTAAAACTATTTAGGTTGGGGAAAAATCATTTGTAACTAGAACAAAAGGCTAAAACTTTATAAATACCTCGGAGTTAAAGAGTTTCTCAAATAACCGAACTTCGACCTTTATGGGCTCCTTTCCTGTGGAAGATTCAGCAACCCAGTGTAGAACACCCTGCAGAAAGAAAAGACTGGTTAATAAGAGACACTGTAACTGCGGAGTTTATAATGATGGTTATAGGAAAAGAACCTTTGGCTTTGTCTTTTTCTCAGGGTCATACTCTGCATGAATCTCACGTATGGTTTCATTGTCATCAGCAAAGACAACGTTGGTGCACTTGATTGGGAACCCGTATCTGCAAACGTAAGGAAGTTACATTTAGTCACAACAGATTACTTACATATTCAAAGCCAAAGAGTTAGTGTTCGCTTCATACCTTAGCAAGACTGATTTACCAGGGGCGAGCCCATAGTAATCTTTTGAATCCTTCATTCTGAAGTCAGATTGATCAATGTACACAACTCTGGAGAACGGAACCTAGATCAACAGATCCCAAAAGGACAGCTCAGGAAACCAGAACAAAATGTTCAACTACGTGTAGATTACTAGTATATGTGAAACACAGTACCTTGTAGAATGCAGAGGGGTCATCGTTCTGAGCATCAGGCCACCTTTTGGCATCAAGCTCCATAACCTTGTCTGATTCCAAATTGGTGATGACCACCTTAAGAGGATTGAGTACCACCATAGTTCGAGGAGCTGTTTTATTCAACTCTTCTCTGATATGATGCTCTAGACGACTCACGTGTATCATGCTACCATCACTATATAACAACAGGTAGCCGATTCAATGAATATGATCAAGATAAGCCAAACTATGACGGACTTGTAATATAGATAGCAAACCTTCTGGTAATTCCCATTCCTCGTACAAAAGCATTGATCGCAGTAGGAGTCACGCCCCTCCGTCTCAGACCAGCAAGTGTCAAAAGACGTGGATCATCCCATCCATCAACATGCTTGTTTGTCACAATGTAATTCAACTGCAGCAAAAGACAAAAAAAAAATCACTAGAACCAGTATATGATCCTTCGCAGAAAATGTTCAAAGTTGCTAAATAGCAAGTATTTTACCAACCTTACGCTTGGACATTACAGTGTTTGTGATATTCAACCGTGAATATTCCCAAACATACGGCATGTAGAGATCGAGGGAATGTAGTAACCAGTAATATGAAGCTCGCCGGGTTTCGAATTCAAGAGTACAGAGCTACATTTTATGGAGATGAATAAGAATTTAGAACACAATATGCAGATTAGGCTTTTATAGTACGAAAGTAAAATAATGGGTCAGAAATGTAGCATTTAATGCTGCAAAAGCCAAAAGACCTAGAAAGGGGACTAACCGAATGTGTTATATTCTCGAGAGAGTCAACAGTGCAGTGGGCAAAATCGTAGGTCGGATAGATGCACCATTTGTCACCAGCATGAGGATGAGGTGTGAACTGCAAAAGCATACAAACAAATCAGATATCCCAAGAATGGGGGAAGACACGTTCTTCTGCAACCAGAGATAGTGTTTGTTTCACTTGCCTTTATACGATATGCAATAAGGTCATACATATTGCAATTATCATTCTGCATGTCCTGCTTCATTCGCAGTGTTGCCTTCCCTTCCTCAATCATTCCTCGTCTCATTTCTTCAAAAAGTCTAAGAGATTCTTCAATAGGCCTGTCCCTCCATGGGCTATTCATTTTCTTCTCTCTGTACTTTGTTATCTCGTCAGCATTCTGAAGATGAAAATCAATGATGTAGAGAGAATAAGCTCTATGTGTGGAGTAAGTTAGTGCAACAGAAATCTATAAAAATTGATTCGAGTTTTGCACAAAACAAAACTGATCTAACCTGATGATCAACATAAGCATGGCCTCTCCGAATCAATTCAACTGCCAAATCATACAATTCTTGGAAATAATCACTGGTGTACGTAATCTAGGAGAAAACAAGGAAAAAATAGATATATAAGCACACAACAGCAATAAGAACAGGTTATTCGTATGTAAAAGTAAGAATACCTTGAAGGGTGCCCAACCCATCCAGTTAACAATTTCTTCAATGTGATTAATGTACTCTTTCTTTTCTGCTTCGGGATTTGTATCATCATACCTGAAAAAGCAGAGGTAAAAGAATCATGAACTATGTCGCTATAGAAGAAACAATGATGGCTACAGAGACGTACAAGAAAATATGTATGCTTACCTAAGATAACAGCAGCCCCCACGCTCCTTTGCGAGACCAAAATCGACAAACATAGCCTGAAATGACAAATTTTCTGTCATCATTCAGAGTAACTGACGACCACAATTTATGTCAATCTTACCTTTGCATGTCCAATATGCAGATAACCATTAGGTTCAGGCGGGAACCGGGTATAAACCTTCCCTCCAGTCACTTTGAGATGTTTATCAAGCACTTCCCTATTATTGTTACATCTGAGTACAGAGCCATTGCTATAAAACACTTCTGTATGAACCTGAGAATATATATCCGTTAATGGTAACTCAACATTGCTAACCAACGAATCCCTATGAACATATGTTACATGGCAACGCTAGCTATGAATCAACCTACGAACGAGAATATCACATCAAATATATTGGCATAATCGATTTGCTTCAAAAGCTATACTTTCCCAGTTTCACAAGAGCTACTGAAGTCGTTTTCAACATTGTCAAAGAAGTTTGTCATAGATCACCATTCACCACAATAAACAACTAAACAAGCGCAAGCAATACATATCAAATTTATTCTACTCTTGTTATCAACAAATCCGCATGTAGAAGTACATAACCAAAGGGAGATGACTCAAACGTGTAGAACGTGGATTTGAAAATCTCAATAAAACAAAACTATCGGAAACAAGCAAAAAGCAGTGTGGTACCATCAAATTCTGCTCTGGCTGAGGGAATATAGAATATGGATTCATATTAAGCTCCTCTTCAGATGGCTCTAGGGTAGCTTCCACAACAGCTTTCTTTTCCTACACGTATGCCACATAAATGAATATTAATCGTTAGGTTTTAGAAGACCTACTTTGTGCTATTGGAAGAAATTTGATACCAAAATTTATCGCTTATTCTCTCAAAGGAATAATGTTTCACAAGAGCAAACTAAAGATCACAAGTAATAACCACAAGCAAAACCTATTTTAATTGCTAATCTCTCTTGCTCTCTCTTTATCTCGAATTGCTCTTCTCTCTTTTCAACCGGATGCTATGAACCTTCGAATGTGACCTCCTTTTTATAGTGGATCACATATTCCTTTTCTACTATGACTTGACTTCATCAATTTAGGCCCACTAATCCTTCATTAATATACACAATAGAAAACACATACTTAAATACTCCATTTACCTCAGCTTTGGCAGGTTTCTCCTTCTTTTCCTTCTTTTTTGCAGGTTTTTCATGATCCGCTGCAGTTTTCTCACCAAGCAATTCATACATTTTCTTGTCTATGAAGTCCTATTGCAGACACAAGACTGGATAAGCAACTAAGATTTCGTTTGTGGGTTTGCTAAAACTGATACTCACTTTTACAATCTTAGGATCTGCCCATGGCAAACTTTTCCGGACATGTCCAAGTAATAGACCCGCTGTACCACATCAAGACATCACATTCAATAAAAAAACCCCGAGTAAGTTGGTTATGTGAAAAAAATATATAGAGAAAGATAAAGAGCAGAGACTAACCATTAGTTCGATAGCGCTGCTCCAATATTGTTTTCTTATTCTCTTCAAAGACTTTTTCAACAACATTCTCAATATCTTCTGCAGAAACTTCAACCCCTGTTCCAAAACGATAACGAATATCTCAATTTTTTTCCACAGATAACACAGTAAATAAAACCTCCCAGCATCATCTTAATAAATAAAAACATAATCCCTATACAAGCTAGCATTAAGGAACAAAATATAACCGCATATACAAAAAAAAAAGCTCCTACCAACACCACATGCCTCCTCAAATTCATTTAAGTTGAAGTCCTCAGGATTGTTATTGCCAAAAAACGAAAATGCAGCATCCAACTGAGCTGGAGTTTTAATCTGCACACATAGAGAGAATCAAAACAACATCCCCAGCTGCAAAAAAACTATCAATCAAAGTGTTATATCTATGCTAACCTGAGCAGAAACAATGTAATTGAACAATGTAGGACGATGCACATGAGCATTATGGTACTTAGTAGCCACCTGTTAACACACATATTGAATCACTAAGTTCCTTCCAAGCATTGACAAAAAAATCACGGAGACAACGATTAATCAGAATATAGCTCACCGTGTACAACAGATTCCCAATAGTTCGATCGCATCCGTCAGTGACACCAGCCTGTACACAAGATAAAACGAGTTTAATTAGCAAATTAAAACAGAATCGAGGGAAGACGAAGGACAGAGAGTTAAGAGAGGAGACCTCGTGGATAACGGCGGTGAGATTAGCGGTGACCTTAGGGTTGTTAATGGTTGTTTTGGCGGTTTTCTCATCCAATCCGATGCTGAGAAAGAGCTTCACAGATTCCTCGGAGTTATCGTCTATGGGAGGAGCCATGGCGCTGAAACTAACTGACAAAATGGGACTCACGAGACGACGACGACCTCTAGGGTTTTAATAGTTCCTTTCTTCTCCGGTTTAGAATTTAATTATTTGGTTTTCCGTTAACCGTAAATGTCTGGTATAGATTGGTATAACCGAATTAAATAACATTTGGAATAACGTTAATCGTTACTTTCTTCTTCTCCGGTTTAGAATTTAATTATTTGGTTTTCTATTAACCGGAGATATCTGGTATTAAAAAAAAAGATTGGTATAACCGAAACTACAAACATGAAATGCAACCAAATCCAGAACTCATCCGAACCATAGCCAACCGCTACGCCGCGAATCTCACCCTCTGCTTCCCTCTCCGACGAACCTCACTCCAGCTCGCACGTGCCATCCACGCCAACATCATCACTTTCGGGTTCCAGCCACGTGCGCACATCCTCAACCGTCTGATCGATGTCTACTGCAAATCTTCCGAGCTCCGTTACGCACGCCACCTGTTCGACGAAATTCCCCAACCGGATAAAATCGCCAGAACCACCATAATCTCCGGTTATTCCGCCTCCGGTGACATCACCCTCGCTCGTGATGTTTTCGAGGAGACTCCTTTAAGTATGCGAGACACTGTGATGTACAACGCGATGATCACCGGCCTCACGCACAGCCACGACGGGTACTCTGCTGTGAACATGTTTCGTGAGATGAAGCGCGAAGGGTTCAGACCAGATAACTTCACCTACGCGAGTGTGCTTGCTGGTTTGGCTCTCGTTGTTGAAGAGGAGAAAGAGTGTGTGCAGTTTCATGGTGCAGCGTTGAAGTCTGGAGCTGGGAGTATCACTTCAGTTATGAACGCTTTGGTCTCTGTTTATTCAAAGTGTGTTCCTTTACACTCAGCGAGGAAAGTGTTTGATGAGATCAGTGAGAAAGATGAGAGGTCGTGGACGAGTATGATGACTGGTTATGTGAAGAATGGTTGTTTTGATTTAGGGTTAGAGTTGCTTGAAGGGATGGATGAGGGGATGAAGCTTGTTGCGTATAACGCTTTGATCTCTGGTTATGTTCATAGAGGGTTTTATCAAGAGGCGTTGGAGATGGTTAGAAGGATGGTTGGAGATGGGATTGAGCTTGATGCGTTTACGTATCCTAGCGTTTTAAGAGCGTGTGCTACTTCTGGATTGATTCAGGTAGGGAAGCAGGTTCACGGTTATGCGTTGAGAAGGCAGGATTTCTCGTTTCATCTTGACAACTCTTTGGTTTCGTTGTACTATAAATGTGGTAAGTTTGGTGAGGCGAGGGCTATTTTTGATAAAATGCCGGCGAAGGACTTGGTTTCTTGGAACGCTTTGTTGTCTGGTTATGTTAGCTCTGGGCACATAGGTGAGGCGAAGATGCTTTTCAAGGAGATGGAAGAGAAGAATATCTTGACGTGGATGATAATGATTTCGGGTTTAGCGGATAACGGGTTTGGAGAAGAAGGTTTGAGGTTGTTTTCTTGTATGAGGAAAGAAGGTTTCGAGCCTTGTGATTACGCCTTCTCCGGGGTGATTAAGTCATGTGCTGTTCTTGGAGCTTATTGCAACGGGCAGCAGTTCCATGCTCAGTTGGTTAAAATAGGGTTTGACTCGAGCCTCTCTGCTGGAAACGCTCTTATTACAATGTATGCTAAATGCGGGGTTGTGGAGGAGGCGAGGCGGGTGTTTATGACTATGCCGTGTCAGGACTCTGTTTCTTGGAATGCTTTGATTGCTGCATTGGGACAGCATGGGCATGGTGCTGAAGCGGTGGAGGTGTATGAGGAGATGTTGAAGGAAGGGATTAAACCTGATAGGATCACGTTTCTTACGGTTTTGACAGCGTGTAGCCATGCCGGTTTAGTGGACCAGGGAAGGAAGTATTTTGATTCGATGGAGACTGTTTACTGTATACCTCCAGGTGCAGATCATTACTCAAGGCTGATAGATTTGCTTTGTCGCTCTGGGAGATTCTCTGAAGCAGAAAGTGTAATAAACTCGTTACCTTTTGAGCCTAGTGCACAGATATGGGAAGCTCTTCTTTCGGGTTGTAGAGTGTATGGAAACATGGAGCTAGGGATTGTAGCTGCAGAGAAACTCTTTGAACTCATACCAGAACATGATGGGACCTATATGCTCTTATCGAACATGTACGCAGCTACGGGCAAGTGGGAGGAAGCGGCAAGGGTACGTAAACTAATGCGGGACCGAGGAGTCAAGAAAGAACTGGCTTGTAGTTGGATTGAGGTGGAGACACAAGTGCACAGATTCCTGGTGGATGATACCTCACATCCAGAGGCAGAAGCTGTTTATAAGTATCTTCAGGAGTTGGGAAAAGAGATGAGGAGATTAGGGTACGTACCAGACACGAACTTTGTGTTGCACGACGTGGAGTCTGATGGTCACAAGCAAGATATGTTGATTACACATAGTGAGAAGATAGCGGTTGCGTTTGGGTTGATGAAACTTCCTCCGGGAAGAGTTATTAGGGTGTTTAAGAACTTGAGGACTTGTGGTGATTGTCATAACTTCTTTATGTACTTGTCGCGTGTGGTGCAGCGTGACATTATCTTGAGAGACAGAAAGAGGTTTCATCATTTCCGAAATGGTGAGTGCTCTTGTGGTAACTTCTGGTAGGCAAGGGCTTGCTTTTGTTATTAAACTCATTTATACTTCATTCTTAGATTTTTTTAGTTCTTCATTATTACACTTGAGGAACTTTCTTCTATATAGCTACGTTTTAAAAATCTGAAGAGAATTAAGAAGAGTTTTGTTGCTGTAAGCCTCTAGACAACTCCATCTTTGTTGAGTTCTTCAAAGATAAGTCTCCATCTGGTACAGTTTACCTTTCTTGGACATTAGGACTAGTTGGTTTATTAAAACACCATAACTGGTTTATCTATTTGTTTACCCAATCTCACAAAAGATGTTTGGATTTTTCTCTATCTAGAGAGAAGAGTTAAAAGCTAAAAGGAGAAAAGATGATCCATGGAGCTATTGTTTCTTGGTCTAATATTTGCAGTGTAATTATTCGGGCTTGTGAAATGAAACTTTATTATGTATTAAATCAACCGGAACCTACAGTTTCTCCATAGCTATAATTGGAAAAAAAAGTAAAAACACAACCACCAAGCCCTCCAACGTGTTACAAAGATCGGCGACGACATCCATCTCGACACCGTGACATCAGCAACTCTGGTAAGCCAATGGGAGAGTAAATAAGTTATACTTTTTCCTTATTATACCCTCGAATGCATTATAATCATAAGCAAGTTTTAGCGCTTAACCCATTATACCCTCCACTCCTAAGCATCTTCCTACGATTCTTCCACTCTTCTTCCTCTCTTCTTCCTCTCTCTTGATCAGAGAAACCCAAGAAATAAAATATTGTATTCTTCTCACTATATTACAACCATTTTCTCATCTTCAAGTCATCATACCTTCATACCAAATAAAACCTAGAAAAGAAAGGTTTATTGTAACAAAAAAAAATGGAGTCAAGTAGTAGCAACACAGAATCTATAAAGAGAAAAGTTGTTGATTCTTCTGAACCCGTCCTTGACATCTCAGTCCATGTGGCCGTAGAAGGTTCACAAAAGGCTTCATGTGGCGATGACTCGGCGGCTCCGACGAGTTGCGACGGTGGAGATTCTGGTGATAGTAGAAAGAGACTTGGGGTTGGTAATGGTAAAAGAGGATGCTACATTAAAAAGTAAGTGGAAATAGTTTAATTCAAATATAGATTTACTGTTATATTTGAGGAAATAGTTTAATCTAATTTCGTAGAGATATTTCAAAAAAAAAAATCATTTCAACCTGCTATGTTTGTCTGTGGATTCCATCATATATTCTTGTAGTGTCGATAATGACTTATCGTAAAGGTTAAGATATGAATTTGGATATGGTTTCTCTCATAGTCTATAATAGTAAAATTACAACTAATGTTTTTGATCATGGTTGTGAATCTTGTGATAGAGAATTGTATGAATATAATTGATTGGATTGGATCCAATCAATGCTAGCTAGAACCGAATTTTATTTGTTTCAATTAATTAGTGGCGTGGGTTATATATTGTTTACAGTTGATTTGTAATTGTATTTGCCAAACTGGTTGAACAATTAATTATTAAATCTCTTACTAATTATATTCAGGAAGAGATCGCATCCTTGGACCGTGGAAAATAAACGAATTAATGAAGATGGATATGCATGGAGGAAATATGGACAAAAGGAGATTTTTAATACCAAGTTCGCAAGGTCCATAATCTTTACGCGCAGATCTCTATAATATTATTTTAGAAGTCACTTTCTTATGTGTCGCGTTCACGTTAACTCTCACGCTGGTTGATTACTATGATACCCTTAATGAATTAAAAAATATATTTAAATATTATTATTTCCTTTTATTTTTTTTTCCAAATAACAATATAAAATAAAAAGGAAACATGTATAAAGTTTACAAAACTCTTTAAAAACGAAAATATAAGTATATATAAATATGGTTTCATAAAAATGGAAAGTTCACAAAATAGTAATATTTAATTTAAATATATTTTAAATAACATAAAATATAATTTTGAAGTAATAAAATACTTTATAACTATATCTTCTTAGATGAAAAACAATATTTGTATATAATGTGATTCCATAAAAAAAGTTCACACAACTAATCTTTATATTAGAAAAAGAGATATTTTTTTATTTAAAAAATAATTTTAAACAATAAATATATAGATTTTCAAAGTATTTGTTTTTTATATATATCTATTTTATTAGATGATTACATAAAATAATTAAGTAACATAAAATGATATATGTTTAATTGACAAAAAAATTATAATTAGTATTCTTGAAATATATATATTTTTATTTTAGTATATTTTTGACTATAATACTCCCTCCGTTTCATATTAAGTGTCGTTGTAGAGAATTTTTTGCGTTACAAAATAAGTGTCGTTTTCGGTTTTCAATGCAAAATTTATTAATTTTATTATGTAATTTGTTTTTCTATTGGTTAAAATATGGTTAGGTGTATGGGTAACTGTGTTTTATATAGGAAATATGTAAAATTAATTGTTTTCTTAATCCGTGTGCACAGCTGTAGAGTGACACTTATAATGAAACAGAGGGAGTATCTTACAATTACAGAAAAAAATATAAATTCTATTTAATTATATAATATAATTTCTCCAAAACAATACCATTTTTACTGCATATTTTAAAAGAAATTAAAAACAAAACTAAAAATGAATTTTAATAATAAACATTTTTTGATCAAATAACTACAATTATCTTAAAATATCATAACATTATATAATTTATCGAAGTAGATATATTATATTTTAATAGTTAAAATTATCTGTTTTCTTAATAACTCTTTTGATTTTTAATTTTCTGTTTTTATGTTTGTGGAACTTAATATAATCATAATCAAAATACTTAAACAAATCAGAATCCTTATTTTTAAAATTATTTAAAATAAATTTCAGTTTATCATCTAATCAGTCTAAATATTGTAAACATTGATATGTGTTCATTAGCTTGCAAAAATTTATTAGTTACTTAAGCATGTAATTTAGAATCAGGATATACTTATATTTCTAAGATAACTACCGGTATAAATGCAAATAAGACAATTAATCAAAAATTTAATATATTTAGAATAAAAAAGATTATAGTTGAATTCAGAGAAATAGATAGAATGTAATATATCTCAATAATAACTAAGTCAACCGTAAAAACAATAAAACTGACGAAATATAACATATCGAAAATTATATATAATTAAATTAATATAATATTATTAATATAAATTATATTTACAAATTATAAATTAATTTTAAATTTGAATTAAATATCAATCAATTATTATAATATATTTATTTTAAATATTTATGTCCGTGCATGAGTACGGGAAAATCACCTAGTTTATATTTATATAAAAACGCATATACATATGCATGGCAAATTATATTCATCTTGTAACGATCGAGAACCCTAGGCCGAAACAAAATCTAAATCTATGTAAACTCTGCACTGGTCTAAATCATTGTGCTTTTAATGTTATTGCAGAAATTACTTTAGATGCACACACAGGCTAACACAAGGATGTAAAGCAACAAAGCAAGTTCAGAAACTTGAGCAAGATCCTGAGATATTTCAAATCACATACTTTGGCTACCACACATGTAATGTTAGTGACCAAACGCAAGTGAAGGAGCAAGAGAACGATGGTTGGATTGAGGTAATATTGGAGATATATTAGACCGTATGATGTGTATGTATGATGTGTATCTGACCAAAATTGTCGCCTCGGAAACCCATAAACACGCTGAAGAATAAATGGAAACAGTTGAAGAATAAACTTGATATCATTCTAGCATATTTACATTATTATTATATTTCCATATGTGTTATATTTGGATTAAGAAAAAATAACATTATAATTGTGTTAGCAATTTGTTAAAGCTAATCTCCTATACATTATTTGTGAAGTGATTTTGCCACATGTCCTCTCTATAATCAGTTTCACAAAAAAATGATGACATAACTACTAGAATTGATGACATGGCATATGATTAAATATGACATGGACAATTGCATTTAATGTTAATATATATTTTTGGAAAACTTTATAGAATATGGTAACAACTCATATATTACATTTACTGTCGATTTATATTTTTGGAGATATTTTTAAAATATGGTAATAACTAATAAATCATCATTAAAATAAATATATACCAATATGGCATTAAAAATTTCGAAAATATCATTTAATTAAATATTTTAAAACTATAAAATTTTATTACAAAAATTTCAAAAATGTATACATTTTTTGAAAATTATTAAAATTTAATCCTAAAATTATTAATTTCTTATATATTTAAACATTTAATAAATATTGTCTAATTTTTAATTTTTGCTAATTATAAAATTTTCTACAAATTTATTTAATATATTTAATTAAAATAAATAGATAAAAAATTATCTAAGATTATAATTTTAAATATATACATTCATATTCTTAAATATAATTTAAAATAAACAAAAATATTTTTATATTACTTTTTATGTTTGATTAAACAAAAATTTGTATTAAAATAGTGATAAGAAAAAGAACTCATAAATTATCATTAAGATAATAAATAAATAATAGTAGAAATATAAATATAATAATATTACAAATATTGAAATATTTTTAAGTGTATTTTTATAATTATATATTTTTATTAATAAATTTGTTAATCAAAATTTTATGCAGTATTTTTTAAAATTAAAATTTTCTAATCCAATACCATTATCTTTATTTATAACATCTATAAATTTTATAAATATTATTTAGTTTTATATTTTGATAATTATATATCTAACAAAATTTTCTCTTCATAGTATTGAATCTGATTTAATATAATTTAACCAAAAGATAAAAGATACATATATATTATTAAATATAAATTTTTTTAAAAAATTTAAGATAAACCTAAAAAAAAGTTTTAATCACAAATATAGACCTTAAAATAAAAATGACCAAGATAGACTTAAATGTTTTATCAAAAATAAGTAAATATACACTTATATCCTTCGGGTTAACTAAACATAAACTTTTTTGTTTAAATTTGAGGAATGGGATTTTGGGGATAGGATTACAAATTTTTTTTTAAAAAAATTGAAATTTTCAAAATAAAAATTGATGTTTTGGTCATTTTAGTTTTAAGATCTATTTTTTTGAAAAAACCTAAAAAGTTCTATTTGAGAGACCTGTCATATATTTAAATAAAACTGTTTATTTTCTCTTAATTTTTACATATAATTAATATAAAATTAATAATGTAATAAAATAAGAAATTAAAAAATTAATTAAATTTTATTTTTAAATATAAATTTATTTTTAAAATTTTTATTTCTGCACATGGTGCAGAAAGCCACCTAGTCACTATATATATATATATATATATACTAGTTGTCCTCACCCCGCGCGAACGCGGGGTTAGTATGTATTCTATGTCATCAATAATAGTTCGAGCTATACTCTGTGCATTATGGTTTTATTGTCCCAGTATATATTTGCTTATTTGGCTTCATAGCACAATCTTTAGTGTTGTTTCCATTCATCTCTCAAATCATCACACCTATTTTTTTCGTTTCAACGTATTTGGTTTTCTGATCTCTTACCTTTCTAGTGTTTGAATATTTATTAATGTCTTGGACTTTCACAATGGATTCCCCTCTCAAAAGGATCATATAGTATTTTTTTTAATTCTACCTGCAAAAAGGTATTACATGCACGTTAACTTGTATTTTGTATGTTTTTTACTTTTTGTGATTTTTTTGATGACGGTGGCACACACAAACACATAATTTTTGTAGTCTTATCTTGATATTGAGAGGCACTGAGATCAACTGAGTGAGTGCTATTTAAGAAAACTTTATCAAGATTCATTTTTTCTTTGGAATTTATATTTTGTATTAAACAATAGTAAATAATTTTTTTTATCGAATACCCTTTCTCTTTTTCAATTCCACACAATATCAGAACCATGTAATGTTATATTGTGATTTTTCTGTTTTTCTTTTATCTGCATTTACTCAAACTTTATTTTCATTCATCCAGAGCAGAACCCACTCTTGATTTCAATTCTTCGCTGATGAATGCATCTATGTCTTGGGTGCTCAATTTAGTTGATAGTCTTAACCGTAAAATATCAAACCTGTTAAGATACAACAAATAGTAATAAAGGAGAGAAGGGTTTTAGCGAGTCACTACACTTGTGTTTTCCCGCAGATTTTTTTCTATATTTAAATCTTAACTTGTATAAGTTCTTAAGTATATCCCAAACATAAACATTAAAGAGAATATCTTTCACACCATAGAACTGGAACTGACCCATAGTACACAAAACAGTTCTATCCACAAGTCCTAAACAAAATCCTGATTTGCAGATTCAATATAGATCACATGATCGGACTTAAAGAATATTTGGGTTTCAGGTTGTTATCTGGCAATTACTTGTTTAAGAGAACAATAGATCAATCCACATTGCTTATAGCTTATTTCAGTAGATGACAAAGCGTCAAACATCAGAAACTTACAGCAGTTTTGTTGCATCCTCTACTCTCAGTAAAGTCAAGAATGGCATCGCAATGTTCAACTTTTTTATATATAAAAACATAAGACACATGAAGAGAAAATTTCAACTTTTTATATATAAAAACATAAGCTGCAAGTAAGAATATACATATGAAGAGAAAATATACATACCTAAATATATACGGGAAGAGTCAGCATCAGAGAATACATTCGATTTAAACCTTCTTGCAAGATCTTCAAGAGGCCAAGCCTGATTCTGAAAGTCATCAGTCTTGGAAACGATCTTTACCTAACCAAGGAAGAAAAACTAAAGTAGGGTTCAATCGTAAGCCAAACTGGAAACAAATACAAAGTGATATGATCCAAAAAAATTTAACCTGAAGCTGAATAGAAACTCAAACAATATTATCTCAGAGATTCCAGAAAACTTGTTATTGCCCATAAATTCCAATATTATCTCTACTTGGTAAGATTCATCTGCATTTCGACATAGAACTTGTCATAAGGATTCCAACAAAACAGCACAAGGTGAAAATCTTATGGAACTACCAATTTTCATGATATATAAAAATGAAATTATATCAGGAAATCGATCATACAATAGACAATGCACCTTTCGGATTCAGTAATAACCATGCCAATAAATACATTACTGGTTCTGAGCTCAGGAAACAGAAGCTTCGCAGCGCAAGTGAAGTATTCGACGGCGGCGTTGGTGATCTGAACATCTGAAGAAAACATCACTTCGACAGCGGCTGCGGGGTTTATCAGAATATAAGGAGAAAAAAAAAGAGGAACCAGAGACCCGATCTACAAACATATATATAGATGGATCCAAGTCGTAATTGATGGCATAAGAGTTACAAATATTAAATGAGGAGAGGAGTCGAAGAGTGCGAAGTTGGGGAATACGTTCTCCGGAATCGAGATCGTCTTGAGAAAGAAAGATCTAGATGTCTGTAACCGTACAAACTTAAATGGGCCGAAAAATAAATAAAGCCCGGTAACTAAATTTAACATGTGAACCAAAAAAAAGATTTTAGGGGAAATCGAACCTGATACCTGCAGAATAAAGCTTTAGGTATGCGGATTATATCACTCGGCCAAATTACCATCTATTGTTAATAGTCAGCGTTAATAACTTTTGTAGTTACAAAACCGTGCGTAAACCATTAAAAAAATGCTGATGTGACGCGCTGGGAGTGAGTAAACTCTCTCATTATAATATAGATTAATCCATAGTCTTGTATCAAACATAACACAATAATACAATATATAATATATAATATCTTACTCTATTTTAACATGGTGAAAGAGCAAACAATTCTTAAAAATCAAAATTAAGCTTCCGCTTTACTAGTAAGTGTTGATAATGTTATCATCGTTGGTATTTGCGATGTTGAAGAAAATTTGATTGTTTATAATTATGCCGTGCCGGGACTCTGTTTCTTGGAATGCTTTGATTGCTGCACTGGGGCAGCACGGGCACGGTGCTGAAGCGGTGGGGGTATACGAGGAGATGTTGAAGTAAGGGATACAACATTTACATTGAAGTGGATCAGCGAATATAGAAATACAAAAATAGGTGAAAATATAAAATTTCACACAAATGCCCAAAAAAAAATCAAGTGGCTTCTCTCTAACTGATAGTTTATGATAATTGTATTCTCATTGGGAGCTTCAAATTATTATAAACTTAGTTTGCCATAAATTTCACCATAATGATGGGTGAGCCACGAGAGCCCAGCTTCAAAGAGTCAAATTAAGCAGTACAAGAGAGCCCACCCAAAACTCGGGAAAGCGGAAACAAAGCCGACGCGGGAAAAAAAAAAGGGTGAAGTCCCCAAATTGGTCTCAATTTTTAATCACTAGTAAGTAACTTATAAGGCAAAGGAAACTTCTTGCACATATTCAAAATCTCAAAGAGCATTGACCCGTAAAACTCTCTTCTTCACACATTAATCAAACTGTAACTGCAGTTTGATGCACAAGTAGATGAAAAGACAAGCCCTTTTTTTGTTTACCCAATCAATGCCTTTCATGTGAGAAATCTGAGATCTAGAGAGAAGAGTTAAAAGCTAAAAGGAGAAAACATGATCCATGAAGCTGTTGCTTCTTGGTCTAAGATTTGCAGTGTAATTATTATGAAAGAATGAAGAATACTCGTGAAATGAAACTTTATTATGTATTAAATCAACCGGAACCTACAGTTTCTCCATAGCGTTTTGTACAGTTTATTCAGAGAAGAAAGAATCATTGAGAAAACGAACAAAAAAAAAAAAACTAGCAGAGAGCAGGGGAAGATGGCAGCTTCAAAGGCTTGACCACAGTTTAAAATATTGACAAGCCTTTGAAACATCAACGGCAACTGAGTTACACAACCTTTTCATCATCATCATCTCTGCATAAAAAGCAAAAAGATTCACAACTCATTCAAAAATAAAAATAAAGGCAGATGATTTTCAAAAGATGACAACAAATGAAAAATCAAACCTTGGTTTCTTCAGGGACCTTATACGCATCAAGCGTCACTTCAGTCAAATAAAACCCAGGATGCAAGCTCTGTATCCAAACAAGAAAAGAAATAAACTTTCAATAAGATCAGATCATACCAAATTAAAAAAAAACAAATTAACTTTTTTTCATCAAATTATCACTCACATCGAGCTTTCTCTGAACCGTTCTTGGCCGCTTCTTCGGCCGTCGCGGTGCTCGGTGACCAAAAGCCGCCATGAAATCCTCCTCGATCTCCTTCTTCGACAATATCACGGAGAACTTAGGCCTCCTCATCGTCTCGGCTTCCACGACTCCACCTCTTTCCTTCATCACCCTCGTCGAATCGTTTCTCGGAGGCGATGGATTCACTGTCTTCTCTTCAACTGGTTCCTTGCACTCTGCTGCTGCTCTTCTTTTCCTCAGATTCCATGGCTTCACCGGTGAAACCTCCTTCTCTTGATAGGGTTTCCGCTCTTCTTCTCCGTCTTGCTCCTTGAGAGCATAGATGGATTGAGTGATCTTATCCCTCACCGTCTTCAGATCCGACATAATCTTCTCCCTCAACTCCTCCATCCCTTCTCCCTCCTCCTCGCCGCCCCCCTTCTCCACGGATTCGAACGTTGCGCGGCGACGTTGGTTGTTGTTGTTGCTGTTGCTTCGATGATCAGACTCGCTGAATCTAAACGGGATCGAAACAGAGGAGCCGGAGGATTTTACAGCCGGAGATCTTCGTCGGAGTCGATGATCTCCGCTGCTCGTCGTGGAATCGATCTTCATGCACTTGAGGTGTCGCTGACTCCCCCACTTCAAGTTCGAAAGCGTGAAATTATGAAGACTCATCTTCGGTCTCCTCGTCGTCGTCGTCATCTCACCGCGCAATACCATTTGATCGCTGCACTATCTTCTCTTCTCTTTCTCGCCGAAGCTCAATAACTCTTTCTCCTGAAAAAAATCGTTCTTTCAAAGATCAACGGAAAAATTTACCGGCGGTGTGTGTGTTTTTTTGTTTTGGTAACGATATGGCTAGAGAGAGATCCCAAAGCTTTGTTTTTTTATATATACGGTGAGAGGATACAGAGAGTCTTTGTGGATCGGAGGGTAGTTTCGGGATTGGAAATGAATCTACGCTAAATTGCGCATGGTGGTCGGGTTTTTATATTTCCCGGGTTCTGAACATTTTTATTTTTTTGTAATTGAGTTGTGTGACTTCATTACTCGTCGGATTTTTTCTAATCTTTTTATCTCGACCGTTTATCTTAACTCACCGCACGATCTCAGTAGGAGTCCTTCCTTTTCCGTTTCCAAATTTGACCTATATCAATAAATTTTTAGAATTTAAGTACCTTTTAAATCAAACTAATTTTTACTTTCTTTTTGGTAAAATTAATTTCTTCCATGGGACTTATTTATACGAAAATATATTTTAATTATTACAAACTGAATATTTTTAACTTGAATTGATATTTGAACATCCCTACCAAATCTTAAAAGTAAAAATGATGTACAAAGTAACATGCATTTTAGAGATGTTTAATACATTTTTTTATGATTTCCAAATTTAACGTAACTACAATTTTAATTTGTTTCTTACAAGTTACAACTATCCTTGTGTGACACGTTGGATGAGTTTTTTATAGCATATCAGGATTGGTCAATCTCTACTAGACAAATGTTTCGTCAGTTTATAATGTATGTAACATTTGTTGAGAGACTCAAGTGTCAAGTAATAACGATACTTCATATACCAAGTGTCAAGAAATTGAAAAGCTTCCATATTTAATTATTTATTCCAAAAGTCAGTTTGAAATGCTGACTACATATTTAACAACTAGATAACTTAGAGAGTTTAAAAGTCAACTTTCGATTTTTTTAGTGTGTTTGTATTACTCTAGTACTGAAGTGAATGCTCATAAAAAGGGGAAATTACCAAAAGAACAAAACTAGTAATTATTTCGTAACTCCTGAGAAACAGAAATGTGAATTTAAGATGCTTCTAGATGTTAACACTTTTGTTTGGTTTATAAAGTATTGGCCATATATTGGTATCTGATATATCAAATGGGTCTTATAATTTTGTCCAAGAAACACATGAATAAATGCAGCTGCAGTCACTTCCCTTCACTAATTAAAGATTCAATGTTTCTCTTTTTGGAAAGTTTACTAACAGTATACTCTATCAGAGAAGCACATTAGTTGCTAGATAGGCACCGGAGCAAAAAAAAAAAAAAAAAAAGATGGACAGTTTCTGACCATTAACACACATGTTTCTCCTCTGGGAACTGGATTATAGTTTCTGAAATCCCACAGTATTCGAACACAAGAAGAAGCTAGAATTTCGGAACATATATAATACTGAAGAATGATAACAATGTGATGCCTAGTTTTGACATGTGCCACCAGAATAACATCAAGACTGCCCTCTTGTATAGCAGAAAGACCTGAAACACTGATGAAGAGGAAGATCATAAGCATAAAGAAATATGAGCCATCAAACTAGCACGGAAAAACAACAGATCCCTACCATCAATGTGATCAGGATGGTGATGCGTAACAAAGACAATTAGCTTTCTAGGTGAAGCATCACCAATTTTATTGAGCTGGTCAAGACAAATCAATGCAGTTATGAATAGTTTAAAACTGATAAACGTACAGAACAAATATTTGAAGGTGTGAAGATTTGTTATATCAATGCATTTCTAGAAAAGAAACTGATGATATATAGTAGTAAGTGAGAAAACTACACATCGCTAGTCACAAACCTCAATGTGAAGTTTGTAGAGGCATCCAGGATCCAGTATCAGCTCAGTGCATCCCTATATAAGCTACAAAACCGGTCCCTTGGTGGTCTGTTAAAACCATTTTCTGGAGAAAATACAACCAGTTTTGTTGTTTTGGAAGGTTCAATATATTGTCTTGCTACGCATTGGCACAACCATAACACCAGGTGGATATTCCTGATTTTTAATTATTTTAAAAGACTCTGACAAGCTGCTCAAAAAAAGAGTCTTACAAACAATTATATGATGAATCAATTCACTCTCAATTGTTGTAAATTAGCTACAAACTCAAGATACTTTTAGAGACAAAATAGTAATAAATAAAAAAATTCGTGACCAAATATTTAGTTATATTTTTGTTGTTACTCCCGGAGATACGGTCGAATCAAGCCCACCCAGTGTGCTTCTTTTATTACATGCGCTCTGCTTGGACGGTAAAGAAAGATAGCTGCCATAGTTTGGATGGTTGTAATCAACGAAATAAGATGATTTATTTTTAGAAGTTAGAACTATACGAAGTGGCATATTTGCTGACCATTGTGTTATGATCTACTATTATTTATCTATATCTTATTTAAATTTTCTATGAATAAATGTAAAACAGATGAAAAAAACATTAAAAACCCCATCCATTAGCATTTTACTTATTTCAGTTTTTACCCGAATTTTCTGATATACTTATTATATAAGACATGAACATCTAGAATCAAATAATATAAACAAAAATCTGATTTTTATTATTACTTTAGATAGAGATAATCCTATCATAATTATCATCTAGTTAACCAAAAATATCTCCCTTTTAGCTAATAACTTAGAAAGAACGATTACAATTATCGGAGACAACAAAGCAAAAGAGGCGAAAGTGTTCAACTTTCTTCTTGATTTGTGTGTATTGATTTGATCTACGTGACGACATCCCAAACTGAACACACCCTTTCTCTCTCTCTCTCTCTTCAGATATTTTTTTCATTCAAAGTCGAGCCCTTTCCGTGTGGTTGGACTTGGACGCCTCTGAATCGTACGCGACCAGCTTAACCCCCTCCAAAGTCTCTTCCTTTACCCTCCCACACGTTCAAAATCTCAATCCTTTCCTCCTCTGGTCAAAATCTCACGAGCCACGGAAACTGTATATAAAACCATCGATTCACGCTCCCCTGTTTCTCCATTACTGGATCTCGCATTCAAATTTAAGAGATTGCTAGGGTTTAGTGTTTTACCGGAGATGATTGATCACGGTGGAAGCTCGTCCTTTGATTACCGGAGCATTAGAGAAGCCGCATGCAACGCCGGCGCCGGAGCCACCGCAGGTTCTGTTTCCATTCTCTTTCCCCTCTGTTTTCAGTTTTGTCTCTTGGGTCGTGTTTGGTTTGTTGATTTTGGGTTTGTGAAACTTTTTTTTTTTTGTTTTCAGGGGCAATTGCAGCGACTTTTGTTTGTCCATTAGATGTGATCAAGACAAGGTTACAGGTTCTTGGTCTTCCTGAAACTCCAGCCTCTGGAAAGAGAGGTACTTTACTTAGATCTTGTGCGTGTTTTGATCAGGAGTAGGTGTTAAGAGTCTTGTATGTGTTGTGAATAATCAGGTAGTGTGATCATTACAAGCCTACGGAATATAGTGAAGAATGAAGGTTTTAGAGGAATGTATCGAGGGCTTTCACCAACTATCATAGCTCTTCTTCCGAATTGGGCTGTAAGCACTCACTTTTCTTGATGCAGAGATTTGTTTGTGATGTATTTGGCTTGTAGTTGATGTTTTGGTATTACTTGCAGGTTTACTTCTCAGTGTATGGGAAGCTAAAGGATGTTCTGCAGTCAAGTGGTTAGTTACAAATCTTGTTGTGCTTAACTGAGATTGAATTTATTTGTTTTCTGACCAAAATCTTGTTTTCTTATCATTTGGTCTCTGAACTGTTTATGTTTTCTTGATAGATGGCACACTTAGTGTTGGGGCCAACATGGTAGCTGCTGCCGGTGCTGGAGCCTCCACATCTATTGCAACTAATCCACTTTGGGTTGTCAAGACAAGACTAATGGTGAGTTTTCTCCTCTTCCAGCTTTACTTTTTTTTTTCATATAGAATTCTCCTTACTCCTCTGTTTTCTCAGACGCAAGGGATTAGGCCAGGTGTGGTACCTTACAAAAGCGTAATGTCTGCTTTTAGTAGGATTTGTCAAGAGGAAGGCTTGCGAGGGCTGTACAGGTCAGTATCTTACATCAAAAACTGAAAACTTCTGTGATTTTGTCGACATGTTGTTGACCTTTAAGATGTTTTTCATGTAATGGAACAGTGGCCTTTTACCTTCTTTGGCGGGAATAAGCCATGTTGCAATCCAGTTTCCAGCATATGAAAAGATTAAGCAGTACATGGCAAAAATGGGTAAAATCACCACTAAATTACATAATCAATCCTCCTGTGTTATTAGTTTCTGATCATAGCTAGTTGAAGTTCTCAGATAATACATCAGTCGAGAATCTGAGTCCTGGGAATGTTGCTATTGCTTCTTCGATAGCGAAAGTACTCGCCTCTGTTTTGACTTACCCACATGAGGTCTCTCTTCTCTTCCTCTATATATGCCCACACTCTTAGATTCATAACCTACTGAACTGGTGCTAAAATGGGGTTCTATGTTATCAATCCACAGGTGATTAGAGCTAAGCTTCAAGAACAAGGGCAAATGAGAAACTCTGAGAATAAGTATTCAGGAGTCGTTGATTGCATCAAGAAGGTGTTTAGAAGCGAAGGGATCCCTGGAATGTACCGTGGATGTGCTACTAATCTGCTGAGGACAACTCCATCAGCAGTTATTACATTTACAACTTATGAGATGATGCTTAGATTTTTCCGACAAGTTGTGCCACCAGAGACTAATAATAAGTCTGATGATGATGACGAAAGAAAGAGTTTAGTTAGTCGACGAGAAGGAGGAGAAGAGAAAGATTCTGCTTTGAGAGAATCACAAACTCAAGCTAATAAGATCACTTCTCCTATCCCTCTTGGAAGCAAATAAAGATTTTTTAGAACCCTGAGTCATGGCTACTATAGATTTTGTTTTAATTTAAAGCCGAGTTCTATTTTAAGCTATTTTTGTCTCTTGCGGTGATCAAGTTTGTAACACTGTTTTGCTCGTTGTTCTAACAAATGTGTAAAAACATATCAAATAAGTACTTTTTGGCCGTTTTGATGATCATCAAATATTTGAAGATTAAATTTGTTTACGTATTTTTAGAGAGATCATCAAGTATCATGCAACAGCAGCTGCTCGTGCTGCAGCGCAACTAGTAAATGGTCTCTTACGGTGCAGTAGCATGAGAAAGTAGTCAACTTCATGTGGTTGCCTGTGGAAAAACCGTGGTCAATGATCTAAAGGCTTCTACATCCAGATTTGGGGTTCAAATCCCAGACTACATAACTTTTGAGTTTCAGTTTTTGAAGAAGATGTTATGCAAAAAATTAGAGAAAAAGATTACATGAGATCTTTAACATGGCGCAAAGAGTACCGTTAAGATTGTATTTCATAAGACGGTTCAAAATGATATAGTCAGACGTGAATCTACATAAGACAGGTAGAATTGTTGATTGTAATATCGTTTATGTCATGCTTCTTATAATTTGTAATAGCATAATTAACTAGGGAAAAAAAAACTTCATGTAATTGCCACGTCGTCATTTGTAAAATGATAACAATGTATATGCTAAATAGTACCGGATATTAATGAAGTGTAGTAGCAAACTATTTAAGAAGTGTAATTGAAGTTGAACGGTAATTGAAGTTGAATAGCGATTTCATAATTCCACCAAATACTATAACACCTCAAAGGAGTGTTCACTTTCAGGTTAATTTCTTTTTTTAACATTGCAAATGCGTGAATCATCGAAAGCTAATCAAAGTATCTATTATGCAACATATCAGATAAGCCCTAATTTTGCTAACTCTCTCTCCAACTTTGATCTTTTTCTCCAAGTGAAGTAGGTTAATTTTCTTGTTTTACATGTTGATCGCTTATTTGATGTTCAGATTATAGCGGCTGTTTTCCATTTAAGGTATTCTCTTCTGCGATTTAGGATTTGAGGAGATATCACACTTGATTTGGAATTCACTGTCTCTGAGCGTTTGTGTCAAATAGCTTCTGTGTCAAATAGCGTTTGTTAAGATTATGCGGTTGTTTCCTTCGGTTTATTGAGCATATGTATTTCTCTACTTGTGCGTTTTTGTTAAGTAGTGTTACTGAGCTTTTGTGCCAGTTAGCGTTTGTTAGTGAATGGATCTTCTATATACAAGTGTTTTAGAGAATTTTTTCTATTTCAAATTATATGAGTAATTTACTGTGTAAAATTTATTAACAGTTAATATTATATGACCAATGATAATATACATTCTTTTTTATTATTGGTTAAATTGTGTTAGGTAAATAATTAATATATTTTTGTCTAAAAATAAAAGATATTGATTATTTTATTTAATCTATATGTGCAATTCTAAAACAACATATATTTATAAAAAAAATGGAGTATTAGTTTTATGACACCGTTAAATGTTACAAAATTCAGGACCATCTAATAACATTTATAAATGGAGCAAACAAGCATGATCCAAATATAAACATAAGAAAAAAAAATAAGAAAATATATAGATAAATCATGACAAAAAAATCGAGATTTTCAATATGTTGTTAAATTAGAGTTTGTAGTTTTTTTAAAACATCAAACTTAGTTATTAATGTTTTAAAAAATGTCATTAAATCATTAAATGTACAATTAATATTTTTTTGAACCGGATTTTGAAATAGTTTGAGACCGCCCTGAGAACCGAAAAACCTTTGCAACAAAAACTTGGTATGAATTAGGCCTGGGCATTTTACCCGGACCCGAAGACCCGAACCGGAACCGACCCGAAAATACAGGTTCGGGTCCGGGTCCGGGTCCATGCTGAAGTACCTATTGGGTCCTTTTTTTTTGGACCCGCGGGTCTCGGGTCGGGTCCGGGTCCTACCCGAGACCCGTTCGGGTACCCGTAGTACCCGTAAATTATTGCATATATAAGGTATATTTAGGTATTTGGGTATATTTTTGGTATTTCGGGTATTTTTAAAATTTTCGGATTCGGGTTTTCGGGTATAATTTTAGGTTTCGGGTAAAATTTTAGATTTTCAGAAAATATAATTCGGGTATTTGGGTAAAATTTCGGGTATTTTTTGGGTTTTCGGGTCTGATTTTTTATAATTTTTAGATATATTCGGGTATTTCGGCGGTTCTTCGGGTAATTTTCGGGTTTTCGGGTCTACTTTGGTTATTCGGGTCCTAAATACCCGAACCGACCCGGATCCGAAGTATACCCGAAAATTATGGGTATTTTACGGGTATTGAAATTATAGACCCGAACCGACCCGGACCCGACAAGACCCGACCCGGAACCGACCCGAAAAGTTATAGGTACCTATATGGGTCCAAATTTTCAGGACCCGAAAGACCCGGACCCGACAAGACCCGACCCGAACCCGACCCGAGGATCCGGATGCCCAGGCCTAGTATGAATATCAAAACTGCTCCTAATTAACTCGAAAGGCCTAAGCATTAGTTGAATAAATAAAGAAGATTTAAATATTCAAACGCAATAAAATCTACATCCAATAATTAATCCATCCAAGTATTTATCAAAATCCAAAGTTACGTCACGATACAAACCACATCAGTCCAAAAGAGATCGGTTCACGTGTCCAAATATTTCTATTACAAAAAGTCAAATCTTAATCTAAAAAAGGTTAATTCCTAAACTCAAACGGATTAACTGGTTACTTGACCTGGAAGAAACTCCACTCAGGTCGTGCTCTCCTTATTTTCCAGCACAGGATCTACTCCAGGAGAACATTCCATCGCCGGAGACAAAGCGTAACCATTCACCGAACGAGTCACCATATGTGGCTGCATCGGCAAGACTGGTAAATATATTATCGGTAAAAATTGCTGCTGCTGAAAAGACTCTTGGACAACTATTCGCCGTGGTTCATCTTTATTCTCTACTCTCTCTGTTTCTTTATCCAAAACTCCAGCCTCAGCCTCGGAGTTCAACTCCGAGGCTGAGGTTATATGATCCTCGTCATTAGTAGTATCTTCCGATGTTGCATGGCTCTTGCCGTGATCCACACGCTTCACCCCCGTATCGATACTTTGCGGGAATATCGGGAAGGGAGCAACGGAAGACGAAGATGTGTAGATTATTTTCTGTATAGGCGACTCGAGTCCAAGAAAGTTAGCCGAAAGAGGATGACGAGTTGATGACTCGAACGGGAAGAGGAAGAGACGGATACGGTCGGGACTAGCTGAGTCATACTCAGCGATCATGTTTTGTAGATCTTCGTTGTCATTAACGGTGACGAGAGAGTCGAGGTCGCAGCCAGGGAGTCTATACTTGAGTGAGAATGTGCGACCATAGAGAAGCTTGACCGAGAGAAGCTGGAAGAAAGAGGAAAAGGAGATGTCACGTGGCACGGCGACGATGCGGGTCTCGCCACCGATGTATTCTAGGGTGTTTGACGGTGGAATGGGTGTTATCCGGCCACCGTAGCTACAGAGGAGACGGAGCTTGGAGTTTAACGACGGAGTTTGCGGTTCCATGATAGCGGTAGAAGTAATTGATTAACAACAATAATGAAACAGAACAAAAGTAAGTTTGTCTGCGAAGTTGGATTCTCGAGTGGTTTTCTTGTGTTTGTTTTAGGTTTTAAGGTTTCTACTTGTTTCAAACCCAATTCTACTTTCAAATAGGATTATACTTATCTCTCCCAGTTTTTATGGGATTTTAAGTTTATCTTTTGTCGTTTTTAATGATTTTTTATCTCTCTCCCAGTTTGGTGTTGGATTGTGTCTATTTTCCAGTTAAACATATTTAATATAAAAAAAATTTGCTATATATATTTTTGATAAATACTTTGTTTGTTATGTTATACGGGTTATTGCTATTATAAAGCTAAACAATATAGTAACAAACATATGTGTAGATTCTTATTATAATTTTATTCATATATTATGAATCTTATACAAATATTTCTGTTTTTATAGTTTTTACTTGACATTTAAATTGAACATTTTTTAGAAAATTATTATTTCTTATTTTTGTATTTTATTGTTTTAGGATTTCATTACTTAAAGTGAATATTTATATCATTACATTAATACATGTTGTAATTTAAATTTTTTATTACACATGTCAAAATTATTAAGCTATAAACGATATATCAAACGTAAAAATATTTTATACAATAACACTGATGTAAAAATTAATATCATTTTAAAACCAACATAAAGTAACATCAATTATAATAATAGAAATAAATATATACTAACATTTTCTAATTCTTTAATTTTTTACATCAACATAGAATAAGTTATGCAAAACCCTCCAGTGTTTTCTTTAGTGACACCGGCCAACCCATACCAAATATTAGCATCCAAGTACATATTCGATAATCACTCACAATAAAAATTTAACAAAGAGAGTGAGCTACTATTTACTCCACTTATTTCAAAATGCAACACCTCGAAGACTTAAGTTCATAAAATATCCGTTATGTGACCACCCTTACTAAGAAGTTCGTTATTTTGGAAGAAGTTCCTTGCTGGTTTATGTAACAATTGCAAGTTTATAATATTAACTCAACAGATGAAAAAAGAAAGAAGATGATGAAAGTCTCTTTCGCTTTCAATGTTGTAATTGCTCACACACCGAGTCAAGATGATTGTCATAGGATAATTTGGATCAAGCTTTCAAAGCTAAATCTATATTCATGTTTCTATATAGTGAAGGAGATACGATTTCTTAAAGTCTATCAAATTCACATCCAATCTCTCTTATATTCACACGGCATTAAAAGAGAAAACAGTTCAGTTACGTCCCCGTTCATTTCTCCACCGCAAAAGAAGCGGTATTGGAGCCCTGTCCACAAAAACTCTCCGACCATCTCTTGATGTATACTCATGCTTCCACTGTGGTCCCACAAGCCATGCCATTGCGGTTCCACCAAGCAAGCCACCAATCTGAATCCACCGGAGATGTTATTTTATCAGACCACTACTGGTTAATACATTTTGAAGGCATGATTTGGTTACTTACATGTCCCCAGTTATCTATGCCTCTAGACACTAAGCCCAACGTCTGCATTGTCAAAAACTTGTTAGAATTTCAGAAAGATTTATACAAATTCAAAATGTTGTATTACTAACCATGTTTAAGGCAATAACTTGAGCTATCTGCATCAGATCTTCATTACCACCTCTGACCATTTGTTTGTGTCTCATTACAAACACAGCTACGGAGCCAACCTACAAAAAAAGGAAAAGAGTTTATCATTTAACAAACTTCATTTTGTATGAGAACAAAGGCTTAGATTTACCAATCCGAAAATTGCACCGGAAGCACCAACTGATGGCGATTTGTTGAGCCAGTAACTCATTGCTGAACCTAGAACTCTTAATATGGTTTTTGTAAGTCAGGAGACTCTTAACACACAGAACTATAATCATCCACATTAAAGAAAGTCTATGAGACATTTAATTACTTGCAACTGCAGATGTCAAGTAAACGGCAAGGAATCTCTTCGGTCCACCTAAATTCTCAGCAGTTGGTCCAATGGAGTTCAAAGAATAGCAATTTATCTAAACACAAAGGGGAGGAAACAGTTTAGTCATACATATAAAAAAGAAGTAAAGCAGCACTGACTAGAATCAAAAGGCTGAATGGTTGATGAGAAACTGACCATGAGATGCATAGGATTGGCATGAAGAACAGAAGATGTAGCCAGTCTCCATAACTGACCTCTATCGATTAAGCTGTTCACCTGCATTCTCATCCACACATGAATCCAGCAAGAAACAAACTCTCTCACTCTTGCATTTAATCAAAATCTCTGAGTAATATGGTTACCTTAGCTCCCCATGCCAGCACTCTACCACCGGATGCAACTTGTGCAATATACATTCTGTCATATTACAAAAAAATAAAACCCATAAACCTAAAGCATTTCTCCAATTTCTCTAATGCAACATAATAAAACAAAAAGACATGATCTTTGTTAACTAAAACACATACATAACGTTAATAGCAAGGAGGACATTGGTCCACCTCCGTCCATTGCTTGTGTTTCTCTTGGAAGCCTCCTGCTTTGATGATGATGATCCTTCCTCACCTATCCTACTCTCTCCTCCATTAAAGAAACATACGGATAAAGACGATCTGATATCACCTCTAGAGTTAAGAAAGTTAGCCTCATTGAATAAAACGACTCTTCTTGAGAACTCCGTCCTTGCAGCATCAGAAACTTTCTGCAGTTTCTGTCAAAGCAGAAACAAATGAGATGCAACCTTCAAAAGCAGAGCTATGATCGTGATTGAAAGTTGAAACCTTTATACACTATTAATTGCAGATGATGAAAGTTTAAGCCTTTTGGTTCTAAAGATCTAAACTTTAGGAGAAAAGTAAAGAAAAGAGTAAGGAGTAGCTTTGAACCTGAAGGGAAGAGCGGATATGGAAGCCGAGGCGGAGGTGACGGCGAAGATGATCGCACGCGTGTATAGATGCGGTGGTTGCGAAACCTCGAAACGCCGTGGATCCATTTCCCGGCGGCCAGAGATTATGTTGAGATAATGACAAAGGTACCATCTCTTTTCACCTTTCTCGGCTTCGAACTTGGGACCTTGGCTTTTAATCTTTGGTCACTCTCTTGTATGATACTTTAGCCAAAAAATAATATTAAAAATCTATTTATAAAAATAGATTTTTAACATTTTAATCCATCATAGAATTGATGTTAAAATTAAGGACAATTTTCTCAAATACACCTTTTAAGTTTTTATTACAAAAATATATCTCAAAAATTAAAATGACCAAAATAACATTTTTATTTTGAAATTTTCAAAGTTTTTTAAAAATTTGAAATCATATTCTAAAACTCCACTCCGAAACTGTAAACAAAAAAAGTTTAGGATTAGTTAATCCTATAAATATATATATTTACTTATTTTTGATAAAACATTTAAATGTATTTTTGTTTGATCATTTTTATTTTTAAGATCTATATCTTTTACAAAAAAAAAATTAGGTTTATCTTAGAGAATTTCTCTAAAATAAATGGTTTAATTTAAGAACAAATTATGATAAATTCATTGTGTTCCAAATTGTACACAAATTAAATTAAATATTTTTGTCAATGACATATAGGTTTCCTTATATTCCTCTCATTTTTTTCAAGTTTTAAAAAGATAGATGAACCAATATTTTCCTTTCAAAGTTTTATGAAGAACAAATTAACAATTTTTCTTTTTTGGTCAAATAATTTTCTGTTCATTTTCTTAGTTCAAGAAATGGTCACCCATCAACCATCTTATATTTTTAAATAACAAACATCTTAGATTTTTGCTTTCGTTCATTGCAACTCTGAAAATAATTTACAAGTAACAAAAATAATAATATACGGTATAAGAAAACCGTCTCAAAGTTTATGATATAAGCTATAAGTTAGTGAAGATTAAATGTTGAGAAGAGGTTAATAGTAGACGTCTGACTCTCACAGTAAACAACTCAATACTGAGACAAATTGATAGACAAGAACATAGATAAAAAGAGACGCAATAAAGATTAGCATTCAATCAAAACATTTATGAGAAGTAGTAGATGATGAATGTTTTCTTCTTTTATTCACAAGCAAGCTTAGTGTCAAAGCTGCTTAAGCAAATCGCAAACGCTTGAAACGCAGACAACGGATACCTATAATCCATCGTGAACATATCTTTCCCCACTTTACCAAACTGTAGTATCACTTTCTCTTGCTCTGCATGACTCCCCTGTGCTCCTGTCCCCTGCGTCTGAGGCTGCTGTCTCACAGCCACAAGCTGAAAATTCTTAACAGACGCAACGGTAACACGTCCACGGAAGTTCAAACACCAGCACTGCAGCTGCTCGTGCCACCTAGGCTGCTTGTTCTTCAAAACCAACGGTTTGAAACTCGTCTCTTCTTCTTTGTCTACCTCGCATGATACTCCAATATCGGAGAATCTAGCACTGCTGAAGTCTAGGGAACGGTGGTCTAGTGAGGATTTGGAGAAGGAGATGTTGCTGCGGAATGACTCGTCAAGAGAGCGTGGCGGCGGTGGGAGGAGCTTCTCTGGTTGGTTAGGGACAGAGCCGCCTGGTTCGAGAGAGGAAGTTGGGATGGAGTTCATGATGCAGTGCATTCTACGTGGCCCGCGTGTGCCTAACACGTTGAGCTCGTAGGTGATTTGAGCAATGTTGTAGCTTCCTGATGGGAGTTTTGGAGAGACTCTTCTTGAGTGGAATCTACTTCGGTTTGTTTGGTCAGTGATGAGTGCGCTTGAAGAAGTGTTTTGTGGTGGTTGTGTGTCGTATACTAAGAACTTAGTTCCAAGAAAGTTTGATCTAAAAAAGAAAGAAAGAAACATCAATGAAGCTTAGCCAAAGATATGGTTATCTTGAACGAACACTAAAGGGTTTTAAAATGAACCTGAGCTTTCCGAGGTAAGAGTTACTAGATCTTGAGATGTTATCAGCATCCATGGAGATAATATACTCGGTCCTAGTAGTTCTACGAGTTCTTTTAGCTGAAAGAAGAAACTTCCCATTCTCCACAAGTAGAGCTGAAAAGAAAAAACATAATGTAACTTGTCTTTAGACATTATCTAAGTGAACTCCAACACAAGAAGCTAAGTGAACTAACAACAGAGCTTACCAGGACTTAAACAAAGAAAAAGATGAAACGTTAGCTTTGATTTATCCCTCTTGATGAAACACTGAATCATCGCGTCACGTGGTCCTGGCTGGAAAAACATTAACAAAAGCTTATTCATCAGTAGTTTTGAACTAAAAAAACAATACAAAAGAGTAATTTGTCATGAGGAGAGAACCTGTTTGAGGGAAACTGGAAAAGTGAGTTTCCCACAGATTTCAGGAGACAGGACAATCTCTTGGCACATAGCTCTCCAAGACCGACAAACAGAAGCACAAGCCACAACATGTTTTCTTGCAGGCCAAGTACTCTCACTCTCCTCTAATCTTTTGATCACATCTAAGAGCAGCTCAGGAGGGAGATTAGCCCATCTACTCGTCTGAACTATCAAAGGTGACAAGAGGTCACGTGAAGATGGATACTCAGATCCCTGAGATTTCCCTTTGTGATGAAGCCTGAAGTCGAAACTTCTCCTCGACAAGCTCCCAATCCCATCTCTCAAATCTTGAACAATGCTCCTAAACGACATAACTCTTTCTTTACAACCAGAAATGTCTATTTCTAAGAGAGTTTCAGACTGAGATGAGAGATTCCACTGACTGTACATAAGATTAAAAAGTCGTTAAAGTTTGGTAATTCTGAGTCACCTTCTTTAGTAAGTAAGAAACTAAGGGAAAAAGGAACCAAGTGGAGGCTAAAAGAGAAAGAAGATTGGGTAAAGCTTCATTGCATGACCAATAAAGAAACTAGGCCATGTCTCAAACTTAGCTTTTAATCAAGTAAACAAAAACTTTTTCTTTATGACAATAATTGATCAAAGAGAGTCTGACATCAATTCACCAAATGCAAAATCCAGATCACATAACTGTTTATGAGGTAAAAGCAAGAGTCACTTTCATAATTGGAAAAAAAAAACTAAATTAACATAAAAATCAAGAACATGAAACGGTTTCCAACATAATCATCAGGACAGAAGAAGGGTAAAAGATAAACCTTTTAGACAAGAAGAACGGTAAAAGATGAACCTTTCAGACAAGCAGGTAATAACCCAGAAGCTTGAAAGACAAAACCTACCTAACATTAAGCTTTCTCCGACCAAATCAAGAAGTTAAGTAAAAAAAGTAGAACATAATCTGGGTCTGGTTCAACAACTCGAACCCTCCAGAGAGATTAAGAAAGATCACAAAGATTTTTAAGCAGATCCGTATGAGACTAAATCTAAAACAAGAGAACTCATAAAGTCAAAGAGAACAATTAAAATCAGAGAAAAAGATAAAGTCGTCTTCGTCTCTGCTTTTTTGTACTACTCAGGAGCCTTTTCTTGATTTTCTTTTCTTCTTTAATATTCACGAGCCAGCAAGTAAATAGTTAATGCTTGCTTCTTCCCTGGATTTTATTGAATTTATATGACAATTTTTTTATATATATTTGTATTCTTAGGAGAGAGAGAATGAAATCTGTAATAAGTGGACATTGTGAAGCGTTATTGTCCACGAGGCAGCATGACCTTCGCCTCGCATCATGCAAAGACCCAACTGATCATTTTGACTTTTTTGTTTTCTGTTTTGATAAACCTTTTAACCTAATTGTTAGTACTGAAAGAGATTTATCACCGTTGAACTTGGAGTCTTACCACCAAACAAAAATCATTATTGATTACTATATATCCCAATATGAATCATATGAACCGGTCTGTCGATATTGGATCGTTTTCCAATAACCAGTTTATATAAACCGTGAATGTTTTCTTCTTCTACATCTCAGCAAACACTTACCTCACTAAATTACTTCCACTGTTCCTTTTTTCACTTAAATGGACAATGATAGCCATGAACTAAAAGATCTAAATCATTTCCAAGATATAACGTTTTAGAGTGAATGAAAAAAAAACACAGCTAATATCGAAGTTGTTATGCCTCTAAACAAATAACACTTGAGCTCTATACTTGTTATTGGAGGTATTACAGTTGACAAAAATATTAAATTAATTTATATCCTAAAACTAGGATTGTATTTTCAATATATTTTAAATATGGTCCATTCTAGTTTTCTCAATCCTTTTTAAATAGTTTTGCTGCTAAAAAGATGTGTAATTAATTGCATTGCTTCCGAACGACATTAACTTTTCACAATTCTTACCGGTTACGTCCCTATCAGATCACATGGTCTCCACACTCGAATCGCTATCACACTTGAATCGCATTGCTATTTAAGAGAAGACAAGGGGGAAATAAGTTAGCCGGTTCGACTGGGCTACCCTAGAGTTGGGCCTAACTAAGGAAGAGGAGACAAAGATAGAACAATTAGCCGATTCCTATGAGCTCAGTAGCAAACTGATGGGATTATCGGATCGTAGTAGACCGGCTGGTCCAGTACTTCTCATTACATTTCAAAGTTATTACATTATGGTACTACGTTACTAGTAGTTAAAGCCAACACCGCATAGACTATTAGCTACAATAACAACATAAACGTTACATAATATGTTTTGCAGAGATAAAACGAAGATTACAACATAATTATATAAAAATGGATCTTAGTATAATATATAGAAGTTTAAGCACCAGTCTCTCTTGCCTTTTTAGCATCTGCAATTACAAAAAAAAAAAAAAAGACATTAGTTCCAAGTCCTCTTTTGTTTTCATTCAGCTAGAAAACTAACTCATCCCTCGAGATATGCTCTGGTCCTAGTATAACACAACACGACATGTTACATGCATGATAACAGACAAATCTAACCAACCGGTTAGAGTTATTAAACAAACGGACCACAGGCCGGTTTGGTAAGGTACGGTTTAATTAATTTACCTGGGCCACACCGAATGGAGCACTTGCGATCGCATCGGGCCGTCTTTCTCGCTGGGAACAAAAACAAAGGAAAATATTAAAATTAAGGATTTTTATTATTATTGATTTGAGATATCGATCCAAAACGTAGACTAGTCCCCAGAGTTTTAGCAGCGTTGGGGATTCATATTAAGTGGCTAGAGAAACGTATGTGGAAATTAAGAAGGAAGAGAGTACTCACAGTCGCGCTGGACGCAGGCGGTGGAGCAACCGTCGTAGCAGTCTCCAGGGCCTAACTGAGCCTCAGCGACCATATCCAAGTTTGAAGATAAAGCCATCAGAATCAGAAGAGCCGCCACTATTGTCACTTGCTTCTTCATCATTCTTCTTTCTCTTAGATCTTCTTTGATTTTTTTTTTGAGTTTCCTTCTCTCTCTTCAAATGTGAGCTTATTTATAGAAATGTCGCAGTTGCCAGGTTTGACCAATGACCACTAGTCCATGTACACGCGTCATTATTACTCTCCTAACATTATCTATTCCTTTAATATTACTGCAAAAAATATCGACTGGATTTTATATAGTTTTTGTTTACTATTCAAGATCGACGGTGGCCCAACACAAATCAATGGACTAACTAATGGTTATAAAGCCAAGTATTCGTGGATCCAAGGCCAATCCAACACAACTACATCAGATCTAAGTGATAATATCATTACGTCCTACACAAAATAGCTAGGCAATAAGGAATTTATTTAGAGCAGTTAGAACTAGTTGTCACAATTTTCACCAAGAAAATGCCACCACTTAGTTAGATGAAACAAAAAATGATATAAAATAGTTTATTAAGGTAAGTTGTTAATAGTGTTTTAGTTTTAAGGTCAGGGTGAAAAGTGAAAGACGTTGTCCAAAATTCTCCATCGAGTAGTAATCCATACTATAAAAAAGGCTAAAACACCAATTCAGGCAATCAGACTGTATTTGATGATGCAGCTATGTGACTGGATTAACGGGACATCTATATTAGTCACTGCTGAGAGATTAACAAAATTCACTTCTTTGATATTCTTATTTGCTTCAACCTAGTCCGATGTCGTAGGTAGAGACACTCTTTGTTTCCTTCATTTTACACCATACCACTAAACATACTCCTCCCACCATTGTTACTGCACCAATTATACGGTAAGTTTTGCAAAGTATAGACATAGATTTTTAGCAAAGAAAAAAAGGTATAGAGAAAATGAGAATCATACAGAAAAACATAATATATGGCCCATACCCATGATCATCGCCTTAACGGGCCCTTAAAGCCTTAAAAACGACAGACGCGTCCATCTAACACTCATTAAAAGGCGCGTGGGGGAGGAGGGCACTAACTTCCACGACACGTGACGTCAAGAGAGAAAATATGCTAATCTGGAGCCGTCAAGATGCTTCTCTTCTAATCTCCTAACCACACTTCCCTCTCTCCCTCTCTCTCTCCGGCGTCATTTCCGTCGCCGGTCTTGTAACCTTAACCTTCCCTCAAATCCCTATCCACAGCTGAGGTCTCAGCCACGTGGATTACCTTCATCCGCTACGACTCCATTCTCCGTTGCGTGGTATGACTTTTTCGTTTTAGTATTATTGTTTCTTCGATCTTCAGATTTGATTCAGTTTAATAGAATATGTCAGGATTACATTTTTATTTTATATGTTTAATAATTGTTGTATATGTTTAATAATTGTTATTAGATCTGAGATGTGTCGAATCAGTTTTGCTCCATGTGAGTTCGAACATGACGATGGTTTCTTGTTTTAATTTGTTTATTAATTGATTCACTGCCATGTCGCGTGAATGTTCGGTCAATCACGTTACTTTTTTTTCTTTAGCCTCTCTCTGGCATTTTAACATGTTTGCACATCTTCCCTTCTATTATTACACTTCATTTCTATTGATCAGACACGACTTGTTCTCTCTCTCTGTACATTTCATAAAACAATCTGTTTTTCCTTACAGGTAGAAAACTTAACTGCTTTCATTGATTTTTTTTTCTCTCCTTCGAACTGTTTCTTGATCTTCGGTTTCTTGGTTATATAAATCACTCTCTGTTTTCTATCTATTTTAATTTTTTTTTCCTTAGCTTTTGGACAGCTAACAATTGTGACAATGTCTGTTCTTTGATACATATTTGTCTTGAGCGTGTAGTGTTACTTGTACTTGTTTCAGGTGTAATCATTTTATAAGAAAATGGCGAAAGCTAGAAGAGCTACACGAAGGGTATCTACTCGACGGATCAGAGCAAGACCATACAAATTCACATCATCCAAGCGAGTGGTAAGGAGAAGCGTGTTCGCAAACACATGTCCGAAGCTGACGGAGAAGAATGATTGGGCGGAAGCTGTATGTTCCGTTTGTATGGAGTGTCCACACAACGCTGTGCTTCTCCTCTGTTCATCTCACGACAAGGGTTGTCGTCCTTACATGTGTGGAACCAGCTTCCGTTACTCCAATTGCTTAGATCAGTACAAGAAGGCATCCGCTAAGCTAATCCCATCGCATCAGCAGCAGCAAGTGATGAATAGTAAGTGTGAGCTCGCGAATCTGAAGTGTCCGCTTTGTAGGGGACAGGTGAAAGGTTGGACTATTGTGAAGCCTGCGAGAGAGGAGCTGAATCTGAAGAAGAGGAGCTGTATGCAGGAGAATTGCTCCTTTTCTGGAGATTTTAAGGAGCTGAGGAAACATATGAAGAAAGATCATCCTTGTGCGCAGCCGCGTGAGGTGGATCCTGATGTGGAGCAGGAGTGGAGGAGGTTCGAGGTTGAGCAGGACCGTAACGATGTGATGAGTACTATTAGGTCGACGATGCCTGGTGCGACGGTGTTTGGGGATTATGTGATAGAGAGAGGTGCGTATGGTTCAGATTCAGATGAGGAGGAGGAGGATGAGGAGAGGGAGGAAGTGGGGAGGATTGGTGCTGGGATAGGGAGGAATCTAGTGAATGTTTTCCTTCTGTTGCAGGCTTTTGGGGGATCAGGAAACGCATCTGAGACATCTCATGGTCTAGCATCTGATGATAATGAGGTAACGATCAATCAGAGCGATGTGGAGTCGTCCTCTGGAGATGAGGATGATGGGACTAGGACGTTCGGAAACCGGATGAGGAGCCAGAGAAGGGTTCTACTGGGAAGATCAGTTAGTAGTAGGAGACGTAGAGATAGAGAAGCTAACCAGAACTCAGACCATCCTAGATGATACAATAAGGAAGTTCACTGTTGGGTTTGTGTTAGAAGGTACAAAATCTAAATATCCATTTTGCATTACATTTTTTTGGGATTTTTACTCAGATTTGTTTGCAAATGCATGAAGGTTGGAGGAGGAGGATCACTCTTTCTTTGTGTTGTTTTACTTTTCGAAAAAATAAAGGAATGTATTCTGATGTAATATTCTGGATAGCAATTTGATGTTGTTTATATTTTTACTTCTGTATCCTTCTGAATTTAGTAGGAAGGCCTTGAAGACCATTGTCTTCATGGATGATGTTTTAGTACTCAAACCTTTCTTTACTGTTTGTTGTCTGTAAATTTGATGTTCTCTTTTATGTATAATGAATCTTTTGGCTTTGTCTACTAGTAATAAAGAGCTTATTTTACTATATGCGTTCTTGGTTAGTATTGCAGTTCTGTTTATCTTGGAGTAAATGCTATTTGTTAGAGCTGGGAATTCGGTTTTTTCGGTTCCTTTAGTATTTTGGTTTGGACTACTGAATTGAACCAAACTCTAGCTCGATTTGGTTTGGTTTGGATGTATCTATTCCGAAATGATTCGTTAGTTTGGTAAAATAGCCAACAATCCAGTGTGTAAAGTTTGGTGTGACTCAGGGTCCGACTGGTTTCCCCGCTACCACCCGCAAACGCAGCTTTTGCGGTTGATGGCGGTTGCTAACGTTTTGCAACAATCACAAAAACCGCTACAAATCGCTTCAAACCGCTCCCAACCTCTTAAAATCAAAAGCTGGTTTCAGCTAGTGTTTGCGTTTGCGGGCGATTGCGGGTGGGTAAAAAAACTATTTTTCTTTTAAATTTAAATTAAAATAATATAACTAAAACTATATCTACCTTTTATTTTTAATTTAAATTCACTAAAAATATCATAATCTATTTATAAAAACTTTAAATCAAGAATTTTCACCATATTTTTCAATATTAAATATATAAATATATAAATAGATAAATAGATAAATAGATAAATATATAAATATATAAATATATAAATATATAAATATATAAATATATAAATATATAAATATATAAATATATAAATATATAAATATATAAATATATAAATATATAAATATATAAATATATAAATATATAAATATATAAATATATAAATATATAAATATATAAATATATAAATATATAAATA